TGATTTCATCCCGGCGAATCAAATGGGCTTGTAAAATAGTTAGGCTTAGTAACGAGAGAATTCCTAAAAGGTTAATATTTGCTGTTCCGAATGGTAAACGTCCGAGGGGTGGACCGAAGAGAAGTTGGGAAGATTGCATTAAAGCCGATCTGAAGGGACTAGGTTTGGACGGCGAATGGTGGAAGGAGGTGTGTAATAAACGATTGGTGGTGTCGGCATCGAACCTTCGGGTTCGCTAAGCCTTTTATTATTATTATCATTATATATATAATAAAAATAAAAAATTGTATTTATCTTCACATCCGTTAATAATTTATTTATTATTTATTTTTACTATTTTATTTTGACTGATTACTCCAACCACCCTTCTCTTCAATTATTCACTACACTCAACCATCAACCCACGGTTGTATTATTTCTGTGTACACATTTACTAGATGCATTTTTAATTTAATACAGTTGCAAATATCATGAATAAATAAATAATATGTTTTATATTTATAAATCTTAATTTACAATAAGGATTTTTTAATTTTAAACTGGTATTGATGAGGTTTATGTGGCATTAGGATTTTCATTTCCTCGATTATGGTTATTTCTGAAATAAAATATCCCATTTCTTATAAAAATATGGAAGTAGAGTTTCCTTTCTTGAATTTCCAAATGGTTCATTTCTAATGAAAAAAAACACTGTACTGAGCCTAATGAATGCAATATATCTTTTGCCATCATATCATTATCCGGTTTGATTAAGCATAGGCCACTGTATAGCTGACCTATTAAATGTTTTATTGTATTTGCTGTAGAAAGAGAGAGAGAAGTCAACCACGGCCATGTAAATATTAGAGTAGAGCAGTAATAAATCAAGAGGGCAGCCAGAAGCGCAGGTGTGTCAGGTGGAGCAGGGCTACAATTAAGGTGGCCGCGTGACGGTAGGCGTTCGACATTAGTGAGCCACATGTGTTTCCGATCCGGGGTCAGGGCACATGTCATACTTCTCTTCACGTCCCTTCCGGAAATCTCGGCCATAATTATCTCTTCTAATAAAAATTAAATACCTCAAACAATACTATAATAATCGATACATTTAAAAACAATGGAAAGTGTTGAATGTAAGATATAATTTTTAGAGGGAATGAGTTTACTGATACTATAGCAAAAAAATGTGGTGCGCAATTTCACTTCAAATTGACTATGGTATTGTATTCACTATGGCAGACACCCAATAATTAGTCTAAAAGCAAGATGTTGCTCTAGATGTTATATACCTAGATTTATTGTAACATGAAATAGAAACTGACGATGGAGCATATTAGATTTAAGACATGTATCCACAAGATCATTGGAATTATGGTTTTGAATATGGAAGTAAATATCCCGAAACGTAAACTTGTAAACATGCAATTTTGATAATACAACAAATAAATTCAATTGTTGTTAATTGGAAGTAATCATTGCCAAATAACAAAGCTATAAATTAAGAGTGTATATTTAATGAGTGGGACCTATGGGCAAGTGAGGAGAGAATAAATAAGCTGGTTGTGTATTAACAAAAGTATATTGATAATATCGAAAATTATTTTGACGGAATATGTATTTTTGAAGTAAAGATATGGAATTTTTCAATAGAGTGATTTTTTGGGATTTTGTTTGTTTCGATTGAAAATCATCCGCCTCATTGTGGTCTCTATTTCCTACTGAATCACCAAAGTTGTGTGGAAAAAAACATCATTGTTTTTACAATAACCGAAAAAAAACTATTATTTCTGTTCCTAATTATTTTAATTCAACAGAGTGGACTTTTGTCTCTTAATTATTGGAATCTGTACAAAAAGTAGCTTTCTGGACTACAGATGTTGAGATTTGAAAATAACCAGTCGGATTGGTCTATTTTGGAGTTTAAAACCATGGTTTTTCATTTTTCTAATAATCATTGCACATGAAGTCCTGTTTACAATCATCAGATCCGAACAATTATTTTACTTAGGATACTCGGTGATATTTCTCATCCGCCCTCACTGAATAAATATATTTGTACTCCGGAGGTAAAGAACATGTCCATTTTTGTATTTGTTGAGGGAAGCCAATTTTCCATAACTCTAAGCTAGTGAAATATGTCTCTGAATTACTAAATTATTTTTTTAAATAATCCTTTACCTCCGGGGTACAGATATATGAACCTATTGCTATACTGTTTCGGTAACCTTATGCCGGACACGAGGATCTATTCCGTCCAACAGTTTTTCTTGGGATGAAAATCTTCAGGGAGGAGCGTTGTAGTATTCTATGGCCAGTGGTGAAGGTACATTTAAGAAAATTAGTTGGATGGGCTTCATCGCTTATTAATTTCTAAGACCACCAACTTCTGAAGATTATAAAGGAAGGCATCATCGTAGAATTGAAGAGAGTAATTTTTGCCTCTCAAGTGTCACTTCTACCCTTTCAAAGAATTTCTTTTACTTTATTATTGCGGTTGTGGTCTTGTGGGTAGAACTTTTAGAAAGCCATTAAAAATACCAAAGCTATATGATTATAATTTTACATAATATATATAATATATATATATATATATATATATATATATATATATATATATATATATATATTATCGCAATAATTCCATGTCAAATTTCGATAAGACAGTCAGATAGAGAGTTAACGAAATCTAAGTTAAATTTATTTAAAATAAGCTGTGATATGATTCAGTCGCCATCTGTGTTTTCCCGAAGTGACGTTAATGGCCGAAAAGTGGTCATCGAAAGTCGATAATTCTGTCATTAAAATGTGCTTTGCCTTCACTGTCGGTGTCATATGGCTACTCCCCGACCCCACAATACTTCCCCTTACGTTAGGCGCCACTTGTCATACTCCATCATTATCGGATTCCGAACAGAACTTTTTTAAAAGAGGGTCATGGACTTTCTTAAGATCGTCAATAATATCAGCCAATATTATCTCCACGTAATATGGGATATGGAAAATATACCAAACTTTCAAGCAACATCTACAAAAGCACGGGAAAATCTTTATTGGAAAGAAAAAAAGACTCGGTTATGTTCAAGTAATCTCAGGAGTGGATAAAGGTTGAAGAATTTTAAAACAAATTTCAAAAATCATGTGAGCTTTTCGGTAAGAAAACCAGTCCAAAATGTTAAAAATTACAATTATTGAGATTTTGTAAAATTCTATTTAGATTAAAATAAATAATGTTCTTGGTAAAAATTTAATTATTATTATTTGAACATGTTGATCAGCTATTAGTTCAAATAGCTCTTCATATGCAGTTCATATGCATAGCTGCTATTCATATTGTTTCTGAAAAGTCAATTGTACAATTGTAAAAAAAGCACATATCCATTTTTCGAAAATCCTTTTAAATGTTTTTAATTTCATGTTGATGACTTTAATCGAACCTCACCTCTCTCCCCTCATCCCTCCCCTGATCACTCCATACAAAATCGTCCTAACAAATTATCAGGAAAAAATAAACTAATTAAAGTAAGTAATAAATGTTCCACAGTAAACTAGGCATAATTTACTTTAATAAAGTAGATTTTGTCATTGTTAAAACCACTTAAACAGAATTTTTAAACAGCTCAACTAAGCTAAATTCTATTGATAAATAAAACATAAATTATTCTCGATTAATTTTTATCAGTCTTGAACTATACTACAGATACCCCCGCTTTTAGAAAAACTTTCTCGTTTATTAAGCTTAAAGGCCATCATAATTAAATTTAGGTTAATTAGGGAAAAAGTTGAGATTCACCTCAAGTTGTGTAAAAAAATTATGTGATTTTATATCCTATCAACTCAAATCAGTGATTTCAGCAAAAATGACTAAAATAAATTATTGCAATGCTATTATTTCCTATTTTTCCATGAAGTTATATAATAAACGTAACTACCTAAATGCATTTTTTATTCATAAAAAAAATGGTGAAAATGATTTTTCATGTTAAGTGATTAGGAAACTGTGTCTTTTAAATAGATCAATATTATAGGAATTTATTTGCATTTATAAATGACTAACTAAGTTCTAGATCCTAATTTTATGCTTTCATTGAAATAATTGAAGCAATCAGTAGCTTTCTTTATTGTAAACGTAAATATGAAGACTAAAAACATCTGTTTCGTCACTTATAAATGCGGATCAAATGTGGAGGTCTGTTACAAATATTTCCCTTTACTTACAGGGCATTCTGTATACGTTGACAGTTACTAAAAATAAACGCGTGTTAAGAAAAAATACGTAAAAAAAAATTCTTGAGTATTTTATTTTATTTTAAACAGTTTTATTTTATATTTAAACCAAATCACGCATTTTTTTTTTTTTTTTAACGAGAGTGTAGTTTTTTTTTCTTCTAGCCCTCCAACAATTTTATTGAACAAATACAATATATACATATACATTTTTTTTTTTTCGTTTTTTCATTGTACTGCCGCAAGGCAGTGGTGAATGGCCCTATTTATAAAAAAATATGAATCGTCCTATTTTTAAAACCCTTTATATTTATTTGAATTTATGACAATTCGAGCCTATCAGCTGACGAAAGGCCCCACTACAAGGCTCCAGTAGCTGACCCCACAATTAAGTTACCAATTCCTTCATCAAGGTATGTTAAAAAAATATAAAACATAATCTAAAAACACTCCAAGAAAAAATAAAACAAAAATTTTAGGATAAATAAAAGAAGTTAAAGCGAAAATGTTTAATTTAAGGTATGGTGTCCTTAATGATAGATGGTTGTTCCTGAGATACTAAATCGACCGTAAGGGACTTTCCTAATTTTACATCCATTATTTAGGTTATGGTTTCCGGAAAGCCTAAAGATAAGCAGACAAACATACTAGGAGAAAATATAGAAACCAAAAATATATGCAATAGAGATCGAGGAGGTTCTGACTTTGTTTTGAGGAGTAAAATTTTAATGGATAAGATATATCCAACTCCTCTATATTCAACCTGTATGTATTCTTTCTTTATTTCATGAACGAAGGATGGACGGAAAAGAGCGGGAGTGCAGAGTATGCGGAGACCGAGCTAGTGGGAAACACTATGGAGTTCCCAGCTGCGACGGCTGTAGGGGTTTCTTCAAGAGAAGTATACGCAGGTATATATTATGTATATACATACTTGTGTGTATTTTATATCATGAGCACAAAGTGTTTTGAAAACTACTTATCTATCATTAATAAAAGTATAGAATATAGACATGATAATTAATGATAAAATATATTTGTTTTAATGAATTAAAATATAAAGCCGAATATTATTTCCATCCATTCGCCTAATAGAAAGGTGGATCGAATTTCAGGAACTTGGACTATGTTTGCAAAGAGAACGGAAGGTGTGTAGTTGACGTACCGAGGAGAAATCAATGCCAGGCTTGCAGGTTCCGGAAATGTCTTCAAGTAAAAATGAAGAAAGATGGTAAATGAATATTAGTGTAATTTTCATTCTATATATCTAACAACATTAATATGAGATTACAAAAGTGTTGGTCACATATTCGGTTCCCGAAATGGTGCCATACATAACTTTAAACATGACAAACGAATTAAAAGTTGAATAGAATTTATTTTCGGAGGTAAAATTTATATGAATTCGTTCTTATATTTTATTTTTTTGGCCAAGGGTCATTTGGTTTTAGACACTATATTTTTCTCTTTTTGCCTCGCCTCAAGATACAATTTTGGAAAATAGCTCATTACAAAAAGGATGAAATGCTGAATAGTTCCCTCATCTGCAGTATGGAGATCTAATTTTTAATTTCTTTAATATCTTAATCCAAATGCAAAAATCAGTCAACTCGAGCTGATTTTAACCAAAAAGCGTTACATAGCCGAACTCAGTCTCATTCAATACCCACAAAATAAACTTCTAAGCCCACCTAAATAAGTTTTCACTCGAATAAATAACAATGATTAAAATCGATCATTACTTTTTCCAGCATAGTCAATTACCCAGTATTTATTAAATTGACAAACCATCGCTTACAGAAGAACTATCTCGATAGGACCGAGTGGACTAAAACAGTTGCTACATAAACAATGCGGGGGGGGGAGGGGCCCGTAGGCTGCGGTGACAAGTGTTTGTTCAGTCGGCGGCTAATGTGGGAGCCCCCGCCTGCCCCTGACAGCTCCTTACCGTCCTATTCTTCTTCCATTTTCCTCACATTACACCTCTCCTTTACATCACAGTCTACCTTTCTCCTACAGTTAGATCCTTACTCAATACTTATAAACGGCAACAATATCTATTTACTGAAAAGATTTAGTAATAAACTGAAGCTAGTACCAATGTGGCACCCTCTTTAAGAACAAGCACTTCAACAAACCAACAAGCATTTTAAACAAATTTAGATTTATAAACAGCTAAAAGAATAATATAAATTATGAACTCAAACGTATGATTTTGTCTCTTAACCTAAAATCAAAATATCTGTTCTTCAGTTTATAAATATAAAACTTTGTCGACACTGTTCAAGAATCAACTAAAATCTGACTACATCTTGACGAAAAGTGTAAGGACATCTCTCTTACTACACTGACAGGCAAAAAATTCCACCCACTTGATTTTTTCATGTTTTCATCTAAAAATATTTCTGCTTTGGATTGGTCTATTGTTTTTAATGAATAAATAGGTAATCTTTTTGTTTGTTTTCTATTAGGAATGTTCCTAGGGTTATAGAGGACAATAACCCTTAAACCTTAATTCAATGAAATGATTCTAGATTCCAATGTTTACTTTCTATTTCCGTTCCTTTACTTTCTATTTCTATTTACTTTCCTTCTATTCTCGAGTCAAGATTCGCTCTTCGATCTCCAGACGGGCGTGAAAAGGTGTGGAGAAGAAGAAACGAAAGATATGCAGCCTGTAATTTTTCCCAGAGCCAACCTTTCCAACGTGGTTCCTTAATGGTGTGGGCTGGGATTTCAATGGAGCGGCGCACAGTATTGGTTGTTGTTCGTGGAGGGTCTTTGACGGTCAGTCGCTATGTAGATGAGATTTTGGAACCTCATATGTTGCCTATCCTCAACGAAATCGGCGATCGTTCTTTTCTAATGCACACCCACATGTCGTCCGCATAGTGCAGACGTTCCTTCAACAGAACAATATTGAGATTTTAGCCTGGCCAGCACGTTCTCCAGATGTGAACCCCATTGAGCATTTATGGGATAACCTCGGAAGACGAATAAGAGCGCGTGGAATACTTCCTGATACACTGCAGGACCTTGAAAGGGCTCTTCGGGAGAAATGGAATATCCTCCAGCAAAGGGACATTTTCCGACTAGTGGAAAGTATGCCGAGGCGTCTTCAAGAAGTAGTGAAGGCAAGAGGAGGAAACATGCGCTACTAAACGATGATGAAATTAATTTCTTTTAGAATAATAATGGTTCGTTTTTCAAATTTTTTTTTCTCTAATCTTTCTTACCCAATCACATTTTGATTATTAAAGATAAAAAAGATTATAAAATTCCATAAATACCATGTATTATATACAAATACAACTTTACAGAAATATTTTTAGATGAAAACATGGAAAAATCAAGTGGGTGGAATTTTTTTTCTGTCAGTGTATTTTTCTGTTATCTTCGATGTAACAGGCCGTAATTACTTTATCAGAGAGATTGTTTTTAAAACTATATCGATTTTACATTGGAACAATTGTTAAATCGATTCTATTTTTTAAAATTAAGCCTCCGATAAAGTAATAGTGGAGCCTGGTATATGTTAGATCCTTCAAAAAGGCAAAATTATATCTTTATAACTTTCTTATCTAACAAGTGCGCCGAATGGCCCCTGTGAGTAATTATCCGACGTTACCTGTGTTGACAATATTAAAATCTTTCTATCTTGAACCAACTCTACTTGTTTCTAGATATTGAATGTTTTTGTACTATTTTTCATACTTCTCCCAAAGATTTAGTCATAGAAACCGAAAGAATTTCACATCTTTGTCTTATATTACATTCTATTGGAACGAAATCGCCAACTGTTTCGTTCCGACCCGTTCCGGCAACCCTTACATGGTGGCAACCCTTACACGAACCGTTCCATCCGGAGCGGTTCCTTCCTAAGTAAGAGGCATTCACCTTTCTCTTCCTCATGTGTTATAATACAGTCAAATTAGTTTAAGGTATATATTAGTTACCAGGTATATAAAAAAATTAAAGCATTTATCTATATTAGTTAGCTACATTTGGTATTATTATTTTTTTTTTTAATTTGTTCACAGAAACACTATTTATCTTTGCATATTAATTGATATATTTATAAAATCCATTAACTGTTATTGTCACTAACTGAAATAATTGAGTTACATATCATCCCCACAAGGGATGCCATTTTGACATCGTTATTTCTTAAAATGACTAATATAAATGGAACATGCTATGTTCAGAATGCAAAACCATTGAAATAATTGTCTTATGTTACCAACAGCAGTTCAGCACGAGCGCTCGCCAAGAAGCAGCACTAGCGCTGTATCGTCGGGTAGTGGACAGATCGGGTACCAGCTGCCCCTCTACCCCCAGTACTTGCCGCCGCCTACGACCTATTTCCCTCCTCCACCAATACCCATAGGTAATTTAATCTAATTAACTTATTTATTCTTTAATGAAATAACTTGAAGATTTATATTAATTATAGAAATATTACATTTAAGTTGAATCATTAAAGCGAACATAAAATATAAGTTAAAATTTATCTATGTAACATTTCAAATAAAAGCTCGTGCCTTAAAACTATACTGAGGCAACTTTAAACAACCTTTTACCAAAATTTATAGAAACAGATAATGTACAACAAATGTCTCTTTAGCATTTGTTATTATTTTACTATAACACAATAAATAGATTATATTTAATGTCATTGCAGGACTAGGCAGCTACCTTCGCAGCTACATTAGACAAGAGAAAGAGGATGAAGTCAGCTCGTCTCAAGAGCCCACTACATCCCAAGACACGGGTAACATGAATGTTAACCTCTCAAAACATTAAATTTATTTCCCTTCAACAAGTAGTGAAAAATGTTTAAATATTATTATTTTCGGCAGGGTTTAAGTCCATGTTTTGCTGCCCAGATTTGCTGCCCCTCAACCTCCTGTCCGGTGAAGATGTCTGCAGTTCCGCCAGTAAACTTCTTCAGTTGACTGTTCGTTGCGCCAGGGCGATACCCTCTTTCCAACAGGTAAATTTAGCAGTTTTAATGTTATATAAAACTATCAGGATCAATCAAATGGCTCTTTTCTTTCAGCTAGGTAGTGAAGTTCAAACGTTACTATTAGAAGACTCCTGGAAGGATCTATTTGTCCTGACGGTTGCTCAGTGGTCACTTCCCATTGAACTTGGTGAGCAAATACTTCCTAATGCAATTCTACGTTGGGTTAATTAAGTAACTCTTCTATATTCATAATTGATACAAACATTGACTTAAAAATATTGCACTATTGGTGTTTTAGGACGATCTCTTGAGGAAAGCGACGAGGACTTGCGAGAGAGGCTGTGCCTGAAGAGGGTCACAGAAAGAACTTCCTCACTCAGACCTGACCATACAGAGTTCGCTTGCCTCAAGGCCCTGGCTCTGTTTACTCCCAGTGAGTGGGCTATAACACTACTTTTATCAGAGTACAATTACTTACAATAATTAACAAGTAGAAGATCCCAGACGTGTCTCCAAGATCTTAATCAAAATATATGACATATAACAATTAACAACCCGGATCCTGAAGAATTTTTCATCTTTAGAACACATCTTATTTTATATCTTTGATTTTAATGAAAATTGAAAAAAGTTCTCTGTTTACATGCGAAACCATCAAATATTCATAAATTAAGCTAAGTAACAACACTGCAAATGCCAATAATAGTCATGTTTTATTAGGCGAGGAAAGGGAGTGTCCAAACAGATTCGGATTTTTAACCTCAATAAACACTCTTCCTAATTTTTATGAAAAAAAAAAATTGTTGTTAAAAATTTGGCCAGATATTGAAGCATTTTAAAACCAGCCCTTTGTTTGCCACTCCTTAATTTTTAAAAACTGCATTCTGTTGCCATTTTCTTTCCTTTAACTCGTTCATTTATTGGTATTTTTAATACAAGACTTTGCACATATTGTTATGTAATTTCCATTTCTCCCAAAGTTCTCAAAGAAACAGCGTAATGAACCCTTTAATAATTTCTTGCAATCGGAGTTTTAGAAGATCGTGTTACCAAAAGATTAACTTCGATTCAAAACGTTACAGAGTGGATATTTGATGTGGAATAAAAAACAATTTGTTGGTTATTATTTATAAAAACATGAATTAAGACAGATCGATTACAGTACGGGACATTGTTGCAGACTTGGTGGAGACGACGGAGGTGAGCATGCTGCAAGAACAGACACTGAGGCTGCTGAGGGAGTACAGCGGCGTGGCCAGGGGGGAGGCCCTCATAACAGCGCTCATGTCCATCGCCAGGCTGGCCAAGCCCACGGTCCTCAGGGTCTTCTTCAAGGACGTGTCGTCCCAGAGGTTGGCAGCACTGCTGCAGTCCTGAAATGCCCTCTTCCATCTCAACGGTATTCTCCTTCGGGCTTCGAGTCGTTATCGAAGAAGAATATGTTCGATTTACATAAATGTCAATTATTCATTAATATTAAAGTCAACCATGCAGTGGAATTCAATGAACTTACATGATAAATGTGTTTTCCAAATCTATTTGATCTGAACAATGTTTGACTTGCTTTTCAGTTATTCCTCACAAAATAATTTATTCAAAATTGTGAAAATTTGGATTATAAATTGAATTTGCATAAAACGTCGATATCTTCCGTTACAATTATTACTACAGCATGAAACGTTTAATTTATTTTAAACTGGAGTCTTCCAACGCGATTCTGAGTGAACAACTGTTTTTCTAAGGCTACTCTACCTTCTCCTCTCCATGCCTCCTAAACATCTCTCAATTCATACCAATTTTTTACTCATAATAAGTATATTTTAGTGTAATAAATACATATTAAACTAACTTATCCCGTATAAGGTATAGAAATTTTAATATTTGATCAAATGTTAAAATTTTTTTTATGTTTTGTAAAAAAATATATATATATAAATAAATATACTCAGTCACTTAGTTTACTAAATGAGAATATGAATAAGTTATTATGTATGTGTTTGTGTATTTGATATCTGCAGAATAAACACAATAAACTGTTTTCTTGCCAATTATATGATTTAAATGATTAATTAGAGATTAAATACCTATCACATTCAGCATAGGAGTTCTCATTCTTTTTATACAACGAGCATGCTGATAGTGGGTTTTCGAAAGCTAAATTTGTGATAAATTTTTAGTTTGACTTATCTATTTTGGCTGTATCATGGTACAATTACAGTGACATGATTTTACTATAATACCATTTTAGGTGTAAAAGGAAAGTAAAATTGTTTACTCATAAAATTATATTTACATATATCTTGCTTAAAATATTCTGATTAACATTACCTCTGGGAATATAATTCCCGACATCGTGAATTTGATGGATGAATATCCACCAATTTGTTCCATACAGATTAATTTATGACGGTCCGTTTCCGTCGCAAAGAACAGTGGTCGATACCCCGTAGTCCCGCCTGATGAAGTCAGCACCCCGCTCTGCGATCATGATGGTGGGCACGTTGATGTTCCCCGACGGAATATTAGGCATCACAGAGGCGTCCACCACCCTCAAGCTTTTGATCCCATAGACCCTGAGTTGGGGATCGGTCACGCTGCCAATCCTGCAAGTGCAGCCCGGGTGATAGATTGAAGTCGAGTAATTGGTAGCCAAGCATCTGTACCATCCGTAGCTCTGCGTCGGGAATGACTGTCCAACCATATATTAAAGGCTTTAAACATATTGTCGCAACATATATTTCCTACTTTTTGATACAATAGTAAAATTAAAAATTATTTCAAATTAATATAAAAAAGTTATTTTAAAAATCTGCTAAACTCGTTTATAATCTGAAACCGTTCTAAATACGACGGGACATTAGAAAACCAGAATAATGTAACGAAGATCTGCTATTATCAAGGCTCTCATTGCCAAACATAAGAGAGATGTTTAACTTGTTGATTAAGAATACATCGAAAGGTAAATTTTCTGAGAAATATTGAACCTGAGGATACATTTCCATACAGTCTAATTACGAATAGCAGTGAAATATATCCTATGACTATCCAATACTATGATTTCTCATAGGGTTGGGATTAGCACATGCATAGCGTTAACAAGGTTAAACCAAATATCACTTCTGTTTTTGTTTTTTAATTTCTAAAAACGCTTTCAGGAACTGATTTTATGCTTTTATTTATTTATAATACTCCATCATGGCTTTCGGCTAATCGAGATTGACAACGTTGGTTTATCCTACAAAATGCGAATGTCAACTCTTCTAGTAAATATAAAAGTTAATATTGTCCAATATAATTATCTCTGATGAATAGGCTGGTCATAATTTGACACATCATATTTGTTTTTAGGACGAGGCCCTTTTTTACCTATACGGAAACAGACTGGGCAGACAACCATCCTTACATAAAGGTCTTGAGTTGGCTTAGTTTTCTGATTTTACTAGCAGCGAGATCTCTGTTTCGGTTGGTACAAATAAGCCTATCACACTACAGCTTATTTTCAATGCCACATAGGTAATTCTGAGAGTTATCATATCATGTTAACATTGTCTAATGATAACATGCTCGGCTCGGCGATCTTCGGTACGTCAAAAATTGGCATAAGATTTCGATGTCCTGGTTTTTGTAGTTTGACACGGGATTCCTCATGCTCTATAAGAACATGTGAGATACAGCCGTCCGGGAAGACCCCCTTCGATAATAAACATAACCTCACGGGATGAAAGTAATCCCACAGGTAGCCATTTTAGGATATGATACCCACCGCAAATTCCATTTTTCGACTGTATCTTATCTGATAACCTTTTTCCAATTCCTAGAATCCTCATAGATCCTCATCCGGATATTGGCTTATAAACTCGCCAAGCTTTCATTCTTCATTTTACATTTCATAGCATCTTCTCAGAGGAGGAGAACGAAAGGTATCCTTCTTGTTTATAATTGAGTTTGGTGTCCCTCTCAGTTGGACGTATTCTTTCTGATTGTACTTGCATGATTAAGGCGTTCGAGATACTGAGGGTGAAGTTCATAAGGAATAAAGAATCCTACATCTTTGCCAATTACGAATTTTATAAATGAAGATAGCACTCCATACTTCGAAACAGCTAAATAATGGGAAAAGGCAGCTGTGGTCCCAGACCAAAATTGCTATATATTATATTTTGCTGCTAGAAGCTGTCGAGCACTTGTTGATATAAATGTTCCTGAAAGATCAGACTTGAATTCTAGAAATTAATAAAGTCTTCTGACTGTTTCTACAAAATAGAAGAACCTCTTCGATAAATTCTTTCATTACTTGTAGGAGGAAAACTGCATAGTATAACAAAAAATAAACAAAGCTGTAGTCGACTAATTTATGTGTTTTTGCATATGGATTAAAATATCTCAAAAACTAAAAATCGGACCTGTATATTGTTAGGAAGGAAATGTTCATCATTTCATCATTTTTGTAATGAGCTACTATTCAAAATTGTATGTGAACGCCACGCCAGGCGAAATGGAAATAATATTGTTGAAAGAGTTTTATTGAAGATATGGATTAAAATATCTCAGCAACCAAAAATCTGACCTTCATATTGTAAGCGAGGGAATTATGCAGCTTTTCATCTTCGTTATAATGAGCTATTATTTATAATTTATATTTCATATTATTAATCTCGTCTTGTTGATGCTTTCACTTCTATCGTATGGTCTAAAACACACACTGGAGTTTTTGTTTTCTAAAATACCAGTATCTGAATGCTATTAGTAGCTATTCAGCCATAAATAATAGTTGAAAAGTCTGTCAGATAAATCATGCTGTTATTTATGAAAATGGAACAAATGTGCTTTAAAAATATTTAAATTATAGGTAGATACATTTATGTATGCTAAAGAAAAATTACCAAGCATGCTGTATATAAGTCTTCATAAATGCTACAGTTCTGGGCTCGAAAAGCGCTGGTATTACATACTGCAACTGCATTTTGAAGAGCTGCTATCAGGTTTTCCACATCTGATGGTACAGAAAGGTACATAGGGTTGATGATAGGACTGTCAAAGGGGTTGCTTGAGTTGAGGGTTACATAACCTGAAATCCAACACAAGGAAAAGTCAATATACATCTTTTATTTAATAAATTGACGTTACTTAATAAAATCGATGTTATACGTACAAATATGTAGATATATTTATAGAACAACTTATCTATAAAATGTATATACGTATATGATAAACTACTAACCAAACTACAATTAATTATACCTCTACTCAGGTAACGTAGGTAGAAAGTCAGTGCAATGAAGTAGTTGACATTGGTGGGGTTGATGGGAGGGTACGTGGTAAAGACAATCTCGTGCTGAGGGTATTCCCCGTCAGTGGCGTTGGGAGGATTCATGAATGCGATAGCTTCGACGCCCACAGGAGAAGTGAGGGGTCCAGTCCTGTTTAGAGCGTACTCCACTGCCGCTGCTGTCGTCTCGAAAATCCCAGCATTGATGGTACTTACATTGACCGTAAATCCCATTGGGACTCCAATGTGGTCCTGCGAATGATAGTTTACAGGCAGTTTCTCGTTAGAAAATCTTTGGAAGAATGAAGTAAGATGCTTACTTTCAACAACTAAGCCATTACCTGCATGTTCATTCCGACAGGAAGGTCAGCGATGACCGGTATGTTAAGTTCTGTCAACTGTTGCTGCGGTCCTATCCCAGACAACATCAGCAACTGTGGAGAGTTGACAGTACCAGCGGACAAAATCACCTCCTTCTTGCAGTATGCTGTCAGATTCTTGCCATTCCGAATAAATTGAACCCCATAAGCAGTACGGTTGCTGCTTCCGATCAATATTCTAAGAAAAGCGCAATCATCCATATAAAAAATAAAAATGGTAAAATAATATACATTTACTAACTAACAGTTAATGATTTGAAAGCATGATGTACACTAAGATTAATACAACAAAATTTTATACTCAACTCAAATGAATAACATCATAAACATGCAAATTCAATAAACATATATTTAAACAAGTCTTGTAAAACTAATATCATATCCATCTTGATTGATTTTGCCTTCTTAATAAGTAATACTAATCATCTATTTCTTAATACGATTTATTCTCTAAGTTATTTCACTTTTTAAGAGGCGAATAATATTACTTTGTCACCATGGAGCCCCAAGACACTTGAATGTTGGTTCGATTTCTCGCGGGCCTAAGGTATGCCTTAGCGGTGGAGCACCTCCTCGCGTTCCTGAGGGTCCCCTCTGCAACCATGAACCCAGTCTGGTAGGCAGCATTTAAGTCACCCACGTTATATCTGAAACATGAAAGCGTTTGATACCCTACAGCCTATGGTGACCACTTTTTCCCACAGTTACATTCATTTCGATACATCCGTATCCGTACATATATTATTACAGTAAGGCTCGAAATCAGTTTTGTACCAAATATAAGCTCCTGTCATGCTCAAATACCATGAATGGGGTACCGTTGTATTCAGAATTTCACGGGGGGTTAGCGAATCGCATTCTCCACTTTTGTTTTTCTTTCTAAGATAAATAAAGTCGATACAAACATTTTGGTAGGCTTCAATACTGGAACGGTGGTAGGTCTGTAGATCGATGCGAGACAAATTGGACCTTGAAGATTTTGATGCTTACAGCAAGACCCGGATAGTTCCTCCGGAACTACCGAATCCTGCGTTTTTAAGCCCAAAAACGTACTATTTTCGAGATAATGCAAGGCATGGGGTTCGCATCCACACAACCTGACGTTAATTGTAGTACTATCATTGGATACATGTCTCATTTCGTCGATTTGAGGTCTCTATGATCGAGAGAGGAGGAGTTTATATTATTTATCGATGGTGTTTTTCATTGACAAGCCATATCATCGTTAATTCTTCACCAAATCTCAAGATTGAGCCACCAATTTTGAAGGCTTCCTTCTCCTTCAGGTGGGCAAAATAGTCCAACCACCCCGAAAATTCAGGCAAACAAGTTATGAAAGAAAAGAAACTTTATTTGCGTACAATTAAAAAATTACACACTTTTCCCTTGGTCATGATTATATAAAAGATTACTGAATTCCCTACAAAAGGAAAAAAAAATCATTGAAATGGAACAATTTTTCGCAAAGATACAGCTTATTGAAATCTGTAAATATGTTGGTTCCAAACAAAGATGAAGATTTAAATTAATTTGGTTCTTTTGTCGATTATATTTATCGATAAAGTAACAATTGATTCCTTTATCTTTTGATGCGTTGCATTATTTTATTTTCTTATTAATTTGGCATTTGATAACAATATGCTGTGCGAATTTTTCGCACGGGCCTACTAGTTATCATTATTTCTTACCCAAGTTCAATGCCAGCAGCTGGAAATGTAGCACCGACACCGGAATAATAACTAGGACGTTCAATGGTCATGTATCCTCCAACACCATGATATTCTCTATCTGCAGCATATGGTGGATATCTGAAAAAAAAAATTGTGGGGGCCTAATTCTCGTTTTTGTTATAAGCTACAATTTAATATATACCAAACTTTATATAATAACTAGGCATCTTGAGAATAGCTCACATATACAAATAAACGGAAAATATTACCCATAGTAAAACTATATGAAAAACAAATGAGATAATCATCTCGTGAAGACTTATAATTGTAAAGAACAAAAATAAATACAAATTATGAATTGATTCCTGGAGTTATAACTTAGATATTAAAACTATTATTCAATTCTAATCAAAATTTTATGATTGGTAAGAGTCTGTTTGGGATGTTCATTTAAATGAAGATAGTGAATAAGCATGGCAGAATTTTGTGAGTTCAGTGGAGCGGGCAAGAAAGTATCGGTCGAATGTTTTAGTTCAGTGAGACGGAATTTAGAGGTCAAAAAGATGTGATCCTGATTTATTAAGTGGATCAATGATTGAAATGCAGGAAACTGTAGATATAGAAAGGATGCTGGGAGTCGATCATTCAATAGGGGAAACTGCAAGAAAATATTGTTGACGGGTGAAGGAAAATCGTCTCTTTAAATTAATGTAAAGTTGAGACACATAAAATATACCGATCTTTGTCAATTGAGAACAACGGCCATTATAAATTAATGAAAAAATCCACTGGCCTTAGTCTCTCTTAAGAAACTTGGATTCAACAAGATGTGGTAATCATAAGTATACTTAGAATAATATTATTTTAATTGAATAAATTATAATAAAATAACTGTAACAACCGTAATAAAGTCACAACTCTAGTAGTCCGTCATAAATTCATAAATGTAAGAGATATTTATATACCTGTTGTCTTCTAGCCTTCTGAAGAAAGGAAGAACATCAGCATACGACCAGTTTGTCGCTCCGCCAGAGGCCCATCTGTCATAGTCTATTCTGTTCCCTTAAATCGAGATGTCAGAATTAGCGAGATCCGTCAATACAATAAGTGTTATATCAGGAATCTTTAGTTAAACTTGATTTATTGAAATAACTTAATTGCAATTAAATTACCTCTAATGGCTGCAAAATCATTTATGACACTTGAGCCACCAATAATCCGTCCTCTAGGCCAATAACATGTTGAATTCCATATAACTAAAAAAACATGTCTTAAGTTATTATACATCAAACAATTCACCAAAAGATTAAATATTAATGAAATATTTATTGATTTTATTAATGCCATTACCTCTACAAGCATAAGGTTGGGGAGTAGTCGTGTAGTTCCAGTCATAGCTGGTGTGCCAAAGTTTATAATTGAATAATGGCACGTCAGTTAAAACTGTTTCATCAGAGTCACCCGCTTCAAGAAGCAGAACCGTCCATTCGCCGATCTCCGTCAATCTGTTAACCACGACGTTTCCTGTAGATATGCAAATAAGTTAACTATCGATGTATTGTGGGTAGTAAGTATTAATAAGTAATTTATGAAAGACAAAAATATCACTCCTATCAATTCATTATATTTTACTACTGCCGTTTTCTTGTCTGGTTAGAGCACTGAAATATATTGGATAATACTAGTGATGATTCATCGAAAAATGGATATGATTTTTTTTAAACTATAAATTCATGTCCTAAATCAATTTTCCATCGTTTACTTTTTTCAATTATAACTAACTTCTTATTGGATGCACTATAAATAATTATGAGGACATCTCCTGCATGTCAATTAGATCAGTGTTGCACAACTATATTGATCAACTTAATAATATATTTCTGTGTATAATAAAACATTTTCACTTCACTTTTAGATTATATGTAAATGTAAAATCACGATTAACTTAACAAATCATATTTAAGCGTTCCATCTTCTTGGATAATCTTAATTATTATTTATTTGTTTAACAAAAACCTGTTTCACAGTTAAAAAGTAATATAATATTTTCAGAGATCCGTCGAATTATAACCACGTTATAATTCAAAGATTAAAACATGTAACAGCCATATTTTACGGCCAATTAATAATTTAATTACCAGCAGTCCCTGAGCCTATAACGATGAAATCAACTGTAAGATTTAGTTCATCAATAGGAACGTCTATTGGTCTGAATGCTGGATTAATTTCATTGTAATCGAAAAGAGAAATTGTTGCTACAATAAGTGCTGCGAAAAATCCTCCATATATACTAGAAAAGAGAATCTGTGAAGCAACTACACCAACATTCAGCATTCTTGTAGGTAACTTACTGACGCCAACAGGACAAACAATGGTATCACAGAAAAGGTTTTGACAAGGGTTCCAATCATTACAATTTATTATTCCCTATCTTGAGGAAATTACTTGGCCTAGTTCTTGTTGGTGCGTTAAGCAAGCGTTTTAACAATGTCAACTTATTTATGGACAATGTTTCTTGAAAACAAAACAGGAAAAGGTTCAATATTACATTCTCACTTTTTATTTTATTTATTTATTACATATTTCCTCATTTTATTAAATTTATTTTATTTTAAAACAATTGATCTCTTCAGAGCTAAATGATTTTTTATCGTTTTTAATTCTCTTCAAATTTTTACTTTCACTTACTTATACATATAATATACAGTAAGAATGCTGGATAAAGTATTGCGATCGCGAAAATGATCGAATCTGAGTTTTCAAAGGAAATGTACGTTTTGATGTCCCCTGAGTCCAAATAACCAAGTCCCGCAAAATGGTCTGTGTATATGTGTGTCGGTGAAACACATTTTTACAATTTTCTCAAAAACGACTCTAACGATTTTGATTAACCTCGGTGTATCATTGTATGATTAAGCGATCTTTAATATCATTTAGATCTTATCCCCATTGATCTCACTTTACAGGGCTTAAATGCCCAATGTTTAAATATGACTTCCTCTAAAGTACCTTTAATATGGAACATTTAAACAAATTAACTCTCTTTTATTAACAGTAACTATAAAAAATGGCAAAATATGAAGTTTGAAGGAATATGATAATTGGAAACTGGAGAAAACAATAAAAATGCTTATCCAGGTTGGAAATGAATCTCCGGAAAAAGTCAGAATGTATACGTATAAAATATCGTTGGAAAGCGGAGAATATTAGAAAAAAATAATATCAGATAAACAAAGTTGTAGAAGGTAACGGCGAGTGACGAAAAAAATATAAATAATAATTTCAGAAAACTATCATTTAACGTAAATCACATTTTTCCAAGGAAATTAATAGTACTAATAATAAATTTATTTATTGAGCAACATTTTACGAATGCCTTTTGGCATATTTTGTAAATGTGATGTTCGTTAGCGAACCTCCTCTCCGGGATTAGCGTGAATGCGTGATTGGAGAAGCCTCCCAGTGAAGGCACTCCTAACGTGGCTCTTCTTAATGTTGCATATCCCTCCAGAGGCGGTTGAGTCTCCTTGGTGGGTTCTGTGATAGTGTGTCCGTTAGTAATGTCTGTACAAGTGGATTAGGATGTCCAGCTAAGGAGTCATGAAAATTTTTGTAATATTTCTTAATTACGTCAGTCACTTGTGAAATTTGTAGGTCTTTATGAAGTGATTTATTGGTTATGTAGAAGGGACAATGAGTGATATACCGTAGAAATTTAGCTTGGTAAATTTGAGTAGCTTGTGTGTTTTTTGTTTTTTTTTTTGCATTTAGTCACGTGTGATTTCCAGGTCTGACGTCTCTCCATTGTCCCAAATATTTCGTCTCTGTATGATTTGGCAAAGGGATGTTGTAGATTGTCAGTAGAGGGCAATCCGAATGTTTAAGTGTAAATGTAACCTGATTTGATTTTTGTATGCTAATTTTTGTGCACAATTTATCAAGCCAGTCATGTTGAAGATTTAAAGGAATCTGTTCGATGCTGCGATCGGATTAGATTCAGTCGAGAGTATGACAGTGTCGTCTGCGTAAGTTGCGAGTAAAGTGCCTGGTGTCTGTGGGATGTCAGAAGAGGAAATAGATTACAGAACTGCACCTGAAATACTGCCCTGCGATACTCCAGCATAGATTCGACAGTAGTCGGAGTGTTTACAGTCCTGGTTAACAATGAAAAATCTATCCTCAAGATACGATCTGATGATTAAATAGTATGTAAGCAGAAAGATCGATTTAATTTTTACAAAGAAGACCATCACATCACACTTTATCAAAGGCCTGTGAGACGTCCATGAAAACTGTTGTGCAACATTCCTTCTTTTCCAATGCCACAGCAATTGTATCAATCACTCTATAACATTGTTGTATGGTAGAGTGTGCAGGTCTAAAGCCAAATTGGTGATTAGGGATAACATTGTTTGCTTCTAATAATGGAGCCGTTTTAATAATACTTTTTCAAATATTTTGGAAAATAAGGATGAGATACTGGTAGGCCTATAGGACGTGACTTAATTGAAGAGTAATGAGCGGATTTATCATAGATTTAAAATCATTTAAGAAGGTGTTAAAATATAATGAGATATCTGCAGTATTAGGTTGTGTAATGAGGTCCTGAGTGTGAGGTTGGCGTATATTGATGCGGTATTTATTGAGATTGGGGATAATGAGGTACTGAACGGTCAGAGATTATCCTCGTTTGGCGTGTTGAGGAGTTGTACTTGTAGTATGAGGAGTAAAGTATTGAGGAGATATATTTGAAGATTGAGAATCTGTAATTTGAGGAGTCGTATGATGAGGAATGATATTGTGAGGCATTGCATTGTGAGGAGATATATTTGAAGTTTGTGGATTTGTAATTTGAGGAACTATATGATTAGGAATAATATTTTGAGGGATTATATAACGAGGACATACATTTGAAGTTTTTGAATTTGTGATTTGAGGAGTTGTATTGTCATAGATTGCGTAATGAGGAGTTGAACTTGTCGTTTGAGAAGTTGTGAATTGCTGTGTTGTGTTGTAATATGTAGTGTTAGTACACGTTGCCTCTTCAGAAGTCATGTTGTGTCGTTCTTGCGAGACAGGGGCAGTGTAAGTCGGTCGTGTTCCTACTCTGGAGGCAGGTGTTCTGTTATCCAAGGAAATTAAATAAAATTTTCTTACAAAATGTAAACTTTAAATTTTTTTTTAAGTTTGAAAAAAAAAAATTAAATCCACCGAATCAAGCCAATACCATTGTTTAAAATACTATTTCATTGTACTTGGGAGTAAGAAGTGAAATATAAAAATATTTCATGGATATGTTTATAACCTTAAATACATTTACTGCATTTTAATAACTGTACATTTGATACAATATTTAAATATTTAGGTGTCTGTTGGCCGTTTATAACAAAAAATCAACACGTAACCTTTTAGAAATTAAATTAGTGAATAATCTGATGAATTTTTGCTTTGTGAAATCCCGAAATAACAATTAGTGTGACAACTTTTGAACTATCCATGGCAGGCAATGAAAATCTTGTAATATAATTTTAGTTAACTTTACAATGGAAAATAACAGTTTAATAACTAATAATCCTATAATCCATAATCATTTGTATGTTAAATATTCAGATGTACTTTCAAACCACTTTAGGCATATATGAGGCTGTCTCTTGACAGAATGACTAACTCGAATTTCAACATTCTTTATTAATAATTTTAGTGATGTTTCTAGTGGCAAAATATATACCTTTATTCACAGTTCTGTATTTCAACACTGCAATCACTTACTCTGGAATCAACTTACTCACTGTCTGTATAGATATTACTTTTCCAACTAGAAGTATCACTAGAATGACATTACTCAAAAATGTTTAAATTGGAGTTAGTCATTCTGTCAACTGAAAGGCTCAGAGACTGGAGCTACGTGGTTTATAAAGATGGAAAAACTAGATTTTTATTGCCTACCGTCAAATAATAAACAGACTTTTTGTAACTTTAATGGTCTTAATGACTTTTTATATTTAAGCTTTAAGTATTAGCTCCGCTTAAAAAGAACTTCAACAATTTTATAATAGCCCAATATTGCCAGAAAATAATTTTTATTCAAAGAAAGTGAAAGTTGTGTGTTGCGCGCACCGGATTCTTTCATATATATAACGATAATTATTTTGGGGAAAAATAAAGATATTAACTACCTATATGAAGTGGTGTTTAAGTGACTCTTGTATACCTATTAAATGTAATTACACGAACAATAATATTTTAAGAGATATTTTTTTACAATATAATATGGATACATTTTACCATTTTGGGGGATTTCAGCCCGAAATCATTTCATTTCATCATCTTCTCACCTTTCTACATCTACTTTCCATTCCTCTATGTTTCTTATTAGCCAGTCGTAGTCCCAATGCTAATTTTATTAATTTGTTTCAATTAAGTGAGAATCACTTAAAATCTCGATGCTTTGTTATCACATAACTCGCTTACAACAATAATAAATTAAGTATAGTCGATATTTAATGTTATAAAGTGTAGGAATTGTTTTTGGTCATCTTTGAAAATCGACTTAATAACTATCGATACAAAAATAAATTATTAACAAGAAATAACACCGATGGGAAGGTAATCAGCTGTTTCAGCGCTGTTCGTTTGAGATGTATCGGTGATAGGGGTACTGAGGGATCTACATGTTTCTCAAGCTAATTGTACTTAGCTTGATTTTAAAATAATTGTCGTAATGACTTATGAAGAATTACCAAAATGGATATAACAGTTGAGAACTTGGAAAGTGCTGTTTCACAGTTCTATAACAGTGATTCTGCTGTTCAAGCACAAGCACACCAATGGTTAACAAATGTTCAGAGCTCTCCAGCAGCCTGGGGTGTTGTCTGGGAGCTGTTACAACCAAACAGGGTAAAGCCATAGTACTCATCAGATCAGATGGGAAATTAATTAATATCACCTAATTCTTTATCCTGTTGAAACCTGTCTCAAAGAAAATCATCCATACTATACTATTCAGTCATGACCATATTTAAATATTTTATTAATACTTCATATTACTTGTGTACACTAATTGTTTATGTTAGCTACGGTGAATTGATAACTTGCTTATTATTTTATTACTCTAGGTTGACAAACAAGCTAACATTGATGACATAAATATTTTAATTTTTTATGTTTAAATATTCTATTTTTTTACAATCAAATTTATTGAACTGTATACCTATATTATTATTGACTATTATTTATAATTATTCAAATAATGTCCATCGTCCTGAATGTTTTTATTACTAATTTTAGCAAATTTTTTTGTTCATAAATAATTGAACTGACAACTTCCTTATATTAATTCAATTTAAAAAATATAATTAATGTGAACGATTATTTCTCGTATTGTAATATATTTTTTTAATATTTAGTTAAGGTTGTATGGTTATTGTTTTGTATGCTGAATATCATTGGTTTATTGGAAAACTTCATTAAATAACTTAATGACTTTGTAAATAAATATGATCAAAATTCACATGTATGTACTTAATTGTTTCGCTCCATCAAAAGTGAACTTAATGACTTTAAAGTAAACTGAAGATATATTCTTCTATGTAGAGTTCGGCCACTTGAAAGTAGCTACTATTTCATATAGATTTCCTTCCCTACTTCATTATTTGTTTATATACAGAATACTAGGCACATAGACTATTTAACCTATTATTATTGTGCTAAGAGTTTTCATGCAGATTTTCATCATATTATTACTTTGATTACAGTCAAGAGAAGGTCAATTTTTTGCTGCAACTACACTCCATTTGAAAATCATGAAAAATTGGAACCAAGTGCCTCCTGACCAATATGAAAACTTGAAAAACAAGCTGTTGCAAACTATTGTACAGTACTCTATTGGGCCGGATCTCATACTTAACAGGCTGTGTATTGCGGTGAGTCAATATCATGTTGAGTTTACTATGTTTGGTTTATTTATATTTGGGCAGTAACCCCTGTCTGCCTAGCAGCAGACCAACTCCCATTTTAGGAATAATACAACTATTCATTTAATTGTACTACTCGTTGCTCAAAATAAAATATATAAATAAATGATCAAAGAGAAAAACCTGATGGTCGAGTGTAATCTTGTTCAAATCACCTCCTTGAATAACCGTTGACCAAGAAACAGTACTTTCCCGAAATGTCCCTAAAATTATTCCCCGACTAAGCGAAGCTGCATGAGGGTTATGTGTTAGGATTGTACGCTGAAAGCTATGTAACATTTTTTTAGAAAATGGCCGGATTGATTTTCAAGTTTTATGGCTCTAATTATTTGGTAAGATTCGCTCAGTATTTTGAAACAATTTGAGCTGAAAATACTGACACATAATTAAATTAAATGCGTTTGATCAATTTGCAAAAAGCTATGTAATGATTTTTTAAGTGAACGGTTCGATCGATTTTTAAGTATGATATCTTAAATTATTTGGCGAGATCCCCTGCGTGTTTTGAAAGAATTTGTGCTTGAAATTTTTCCATATTACTGCGTAAAATATGTTTAAGCAATCTGCTAAAATTTATATAACGAGTTTTTATATTGATGGCTTGACCAATTTTTAACTTTGATGACTGTAATTACTCAGTGAGATCTCATCACTGTTTTGAAATGATTTGAGTACAAAATACTGAAAAAAATCGTATTATAGTTTAAGTATCCCGATTATTGATTGATTTGAACTGATATCATACCATCGTATGTTATGATAGTATAATTTTTTAATATTTTAAATTTTAAAAATGTTAATAAAAAAAATAAACTTATCTACTTAAACATCTTTGATTGATAGGAAAATTGATATCTAAGAATATTTAAACTTGGTGTAGTAGTCAGATCCCTACCACCCCCGAACAAAACTCAAGACTTGGATGTTGACATGCACCGATACATGGGACGAAATGTATTTTGCGGGAGTTGTGATGTGTAGTAAAAGGCACACGACTATTACATATGGAAGTATCTATTCCCTTAGGGAAGATAAATTTTCGCAATTTCTGCAGTCGGTTTTTTTTTAAATCAATTTTTTTTTATTAATTCAATTTATAAAGTATTATTTTAGCATTCTTATATATGATTAGTAGCTGTATTTGTTTTAGTTTTGACAAAGAAAAATAATAAGCATTTCCCGCCTTCAATTTAACCTTAATATCCTCTTTAATTTATTTTTTTCTAGTTATCGTAGACCCTAGATACCTAAAATTCTGTTCGTGTTCAAACACATTCCCTTCTATATCGTTATCATTGAAATTGTTGCTGTTTTTGCAGTTCATATGTTGTCTTATCCGTATTTATTTCGAGTCCCAGCTCTTTACTGGCTTTCATCTGGTTTTTTGAACAATTTAGTAGTTTCATTCATTAAGGCTCAGAAGTAATATAAGGATATACAAAAATAATTGACAAACCTAGATTAGAATGTTAGATTTTAATATATGCCTAAATATTTTGGTCAGTTTATGTTTATAAGATGATTAAGGTCTACTGGAACTATTACCCATAAACTGACAAACTTCATTTTGGTTAGCAGAATGGGAGAATGCCTTTTTTAATATTGTTTTTTTATCTTATTATTTGTTTCAGTTGTCTGCCCTTCTTATTCAAATGACTCCAAGATATTGGAAAGATTCAATAGGAGATCTATTGACAATGTTTCGTCCGGAGAATTTACCTTCAGTTTCACCTCAAAGAGTTATATGGATTTTATTTGAAGTTCTTACATTTATACCAGAGGAGGTAGGAATTTATTTGGTTTATAAAGTTATTTTTAATTTTAGTTTACAGAACCCCTCGACCATACTTGTTTGGGTTTCTTACTATTATTGATTGTATTTATGAGAATATTTTGCTGTTACCTCTGCTGAAAACATTATTTTTCCAAGATCTTGATATTCCTTAATAATTATTGTACACAATATTGCATGTTTGTGTTCATTCATGTATACATTCATAAGGAGAATTTAATAAAGTTTGGTTTCAGTTTCAGTCCATGTTGTTATCTTCCACTCACAGAACATATGTTCGAAATGAACTAGAAAAACATTCTGAAAAAGGTAATTTGAATTATAAAAAAATAAATGTATTCTACTTTTGAATTATTTATTATTGTTGTATATAGAAAGTGTTCATAAATGACTCCTTACTTGTTTTTGCAATAACTACAAAAAAGTAAATTTATTATTTACATAAAAATTATCCCAAGAAAATTATCTTATTTAATTCTTAACAGAACCAAACCACAAATTTGTGAATTTAAAATATTTACTTTTTTTTTTATTTCTTTTAATATTAACCTAAATATTATCACAAAAAAAGTGTTTAATTAAAAATATTTTTAAATTTCTGTTTGTATCTTTATAAATACAGAGTACATCTGTAAGTTATACATTTTCTAGAATTTAACAAAAAAAAATCAGTTCATGCTGTATACATTTATTAAAGAAATTCTTTCTTCTTGAAATCTTCTTGAAAGAAAACTTTATCTAAGCTTACATCCTTTTCCAAAAAAAAACGACCAAATTACCTATATTAACAAGGTTATAGGACCATATTTTTAGTAATAAAGGCTGCTCATTAAGGGCACTCACCCTTTGATACTGTTTTTTTCACCATTTCTTTTGTTCAACTGACACTTGCCTAGTCAGAAAAAATGCCGTTTTTTTTTTTTTCAAGTTTTCAACCTTTTACAGACAGTTTTCATCATAAATATCGAAATCAGATGGCAATTTGTCTCGACAAACATTTATTTAGAATAACAGATTCAAATAAGTAATTATCACAAGCAGTTGAGTTTTTAAAGAAATGACCCAAAGTAGGCCATGTTTCTTATAAGATACAAAAGGTTTTTAACTCCTTAAAAATTATCATACTTCTACAAAAATAAAAAAAATATATAACTGAAAAAGACTCCTGTTGGCCTTTTAAAAAAAATTAAAAAGTTGTGTTTTCTATTGTATACGTTGCCAAGGGATTGAGAATTTAATACAATGCATTATGGTAGTCATGATATGTTTTAGAACTGATATTATGTTAAAAATGTTAATTGTTAAATGGTTGGTTAAGTTTTTTTCTAGTTTTTATTGGTGAATTATATTGGTGTTATGATTTTTTTTTTCAGTAATATCTCTTATTAATAGCGCTCTGGGTAGTGAAGAAGTTAGAGAAGCTGCTGCTAAGGCTGCCGCCGCTTGGTTGCAGTTTGGTGTTTCTCTTCCATCCTGCCTAAACATTGCTAGTTCATTAGTTGCTGTTATCCGATCGAAGACAAATGATATTACTGAGTAAGTTTTTATTTATTTATTTTTTAACTTAGTTTATCGACTATATCCTTGTATATAATTATGAATTTGCGTCCTCATCGTAACCTACAAATATTTTATTTACGAAAATTCTCGGAATTAAGACTTTTTCAAACAGGATATTGGCAAACTTTGTCTATTTAATTTGGTAAAAAAAACTCAAGAATACCCATTTGCTTTCCACATGAATTTTAAGATTATATGATCACAAAATCGAAAAAAAAAAAGGTTGCCTACAAAAATACTGGGTATTTTGACCTCGTTATTTTGACATTTTGGGGGTGGAGGTGATGCCTTACGGATCAATATTTTTGTAGACCACTTTTTTTTTTCGACTTTTTGATCATATTATCTTACAATTTAAGTGAAAAGCAAATGGGTATTCATCAATTTTTAGTACCTAATTAGATAGATAAAGTTTGTCAATCTCCAGATTGAAAACGTCCTATTTCCAAAAATTGTTGTAAATAAAATATCTGTAGGTTACGATAAGATGTAGCTATTTGCGAAATTTCAGGCAGATATTAATAATTTGTTAAAAAGGGGTCTGTACTCTAGACATTTAAAGTTGATATAAAGTAAATGTCCGTTTAAGAGAGGGTTAATAAATTATTTTAAAATGTGCCAATTAATAAAAGAAAAAATCATTTCCCCAATTTTCAAGCTTCATACACTGACAGGCAAAAAATTCCACCCACTTGATTTTTTCATGTTTTCATCTAAAAATATTTCTGCTTTGGATTGGTCTATTGTTTTTAATGAATAAATAGGTAATCTTTTTGTTTGTTTTCAGTTAGAAATGTTAATATAGAGGACAATAATCCTTAATTCAATGAAATGATTCTAGATTCCAAAACGAACAATTATTATTCTAAAAGAAATTAATTACATCATCATTTAGTAGCGCGTGTTTCCTCCTCTTGCCTTCACTACTTCTTGAAGATGCCTCGTCATACTTTCCACGAGTCAGGAAATGTCCCTTTGCTGGAGGATAGCCCATTCCTCCCGAAGAGCCCTTTCAAGATCCTGCAGTGTATCAGGAAGTGTTGCACGCGCTCTTATTCGTCTTCCAAGGTTATCCCATAAATGCTCAATGGGGTTCAAATCTGGAGAACGTGCTGGCCAGGCTAAAACCTCAATATTGTTCTGTTGAAGGAACTATGCTGGCAACATGTGGGCGTGCATTAGAATAAAACTATCGCCGATTTCGTTGAGGATAGGCAACACATGAGGTTCCAAAATCTCATCTACATAGCGAATGGCCGTCAAAGACCTTCCACGAACAACAACCAATTCTGTGCGGCGCTCCATTGGAATCCCAGCCCACACCCTTAAGGAACCACATTGGAAAGGTTGGCTCTGGGAAAAATTACAGTCTGCATATCTTTCGTTTCTTCTTCTCCTCACCCGTTTGGAGATCAAAGAGGGAATCTTGACTCATCTGTAAAAAGTACAGCACTCCATTCGTCCATAGTCCAATGGCTGTGTTCTCGAGCAAAAGCCAGCCGTGTTACTCTGTGAGTTCTGGTCAACTCTGGTTCTGTTACTGGACGAAAAGCCATTAATCCATACTCATTTAATCTTCTCCGAGCGCTACGTTCAGAAATTTGCATACCTCGAACTTCTTCGAGCTGATGAATCACTTGAACAACGGTAAGGTGCCGGTTTCGTAAAATTCTCAAAGTCAAAAACCGGTCATCCCATGGTTCTGTTACCCTAGGCCGTCCAGAACCGGGCCTTCTATTATAAGAACCAGTTTCCCGAAAACGCCTGACGGCATCTCGTAAAGTTTCATATGGAACTGCGATGGCATTAGCTGCATATCTAATGGAACGTCCATCATCAATAAGTGCCACACCACGCGCAACATCCTCAGTACTAAGAGGATTTTTAAACTTAATATTGAAAAAATTAAAAGCCGGAGACTAAGAAATGTGCTGCAAGAAACGGCACTGAACTAATGATACTGAATAAACATTTTGATTCCGTAGAAGTAAACATTGGAATCTAGAATCATTTCATTGAATTAAGGATTAAGGGTTATTGTCCTCTATATTAACATTCCTAATTGAAAACAAACAAAAAGATTACCTATTTATTCATTAAAAACAATAGACCAATCCAAAGCAGAAATATTTTTAGATGAAAACATGAAAAAATCAAGTGGGTGGAATTTTGCCTGTCAGTGTATTATTACACAGGTATTATTCATCTTATCTTAAACCATATGTATTGCTGTTATATTATTTTTCCTTTTAATAGGACGTGTGAGCATGAGTTGGAAGCTTTAAACCACATGGTAACTCATCCTGATACTTACAAATTTCCTGCTTGTGTTCTTCAGTTGCTCTCTCTGATCTTACAACTGACTGCTGATGTCAAATCTTCAGGAAACGAAGTATGATTCTATAGTTTTGGATGTTGATTCTATTATTTTAATGCATGATGAACCTAACCATAATGCCTGTTATTAGTTGCTTATTATTCATAAATTTGTCTTATTCGCTTTTCATTTGCTCTTGACAAATGAATTTTTCTTATTTATTCGTAATATTTACTCGTGAAATAGTATTCTCAACTATTATTTATCAGTATAAAAAGATCTTTAATACAATTAAAGTTATTATGGTGTGGTTAGTTTCAATTACTATGTCATTTTTTCAATCAGCTTAAATTTCATGAAATATTAGCTTCTTTTCTGATATAATGCAGTTTACTGTGTAGCCTTCCAGTTACTCTAGGTACCAACACTAAAGCACGAGTAGGCACTCTAAGACATTTTAAAAATAATTATTGGACTTAGTAGAATCAATTCTCTAACTTGAGGGAAATTGATAAATTATTTCTATTAAGTAAAAAAACTACCCTTGTAACAGATGAAGATTGGACATCAATAACTGGCTTTGGGAAAAACAAATAAAATTGACTTAGACAATTTTCAGCAAGTATAATGCCATTTCCAATAGCCTAAATGATACTATCATTACTATTGATTTAGCTTACTTAAAATTGTAACTCAATTTTATAGTTTTGCAGAAAGCTCATTATTGATGCCCAGCATTCAAATGATGTGCTTTTTTGTGTTTTGATTTTGAATAAATTTTGCACGCTTGATCTTTGACTGGTTTTTAGTTTGAAGACATTTTTTAGTTAAATACCATAAAATTAAAGTTATTGTTTATGTGAATATTTTAGTGGAAATTTCATGAAGTTCAAACCAAGAATTACTATGTTGCATTATAGGTAATAATTTTATCATTATAGTGAAGTGTTCTGTCAATTTAATTAATCAATTAAGGTATTTCGTCTTAGGAAGTCATGACAAACATCTACAAGTTGCTCATTGCTATCGGAGAAACACATCCAAGACTACTCCTTGATGGGTTGAAGTCTCCTCAATCTTATGAGAATGTAAAGTCTCTCATATCACACCTTTTAGATTGCACCGCTACTCCAGGCGATTATCCTAAAGATGAAACTCGTAGTCAACTGGTTCTTAGCTTCTGGTACTTATTGCAGGTATCTAACTTTATTATAAAAAAAAATGTCTAGGCTGTTCTCTTAAATTGTATTCTCACTAAACAAGGGTTTCTCAAAAGAAAAAAAAGTTTAAAAAACATATGGGATTCAATAGATATAATTAAGCCAATATTTTTTTTAAGCTAAAAAGCTTATAATCATCTTATATTTTCACATAATATCCAACCTTTATTGAGGTTAGTCTAAAAAGTTAATATTTTTAATGGATGGATAGTTTATTTCTAAAGCATATATATTGTGTTTTCTCGATACCTATTTAATTTGGATGAATGAGCAAATTGAGATTTCATTTTATAGGTGTGAATTTTTCTTTTTTTTTTTTTTACTCTTAGTAGAGAACAGGATTCCTTATTTACCATTACAACATAATTACTCATTTACTTGCCTAGCAAAAAGGATATATATATTTCTCCCTTCTTTTTTTTTTTTTTTTTTTTTTTATTTACTTCATTTTAATTAATTTTTAGGATGAAATGATAAATCTTGAAAAAGATGATCTTGAATATACATCATCTTATCTTGTTCCTGTTTATGAAAGGCTTTGTGAAGTAAGTATTGTATTTAAATATGTTATATCTTTATATTTATGGGGGGAGGTGTCTTGTTCGTTTCACAAACCTCTCGAATCTCAAATCATAATAGTTAGCAATATCTTACAATACTAAAAAAGGGTTATGTTCCTTGTATACAATATGATAAAAATTAAGAATTTTTTTATCTGAAAACATAAGTTTAATCTATAAGATTTTATCTATTTTTGATGTCTGTTTTATTTAACCTAAATTTTTCGTTTGATGTACCTTCTGAAAATAATTGTTTCTCTTCGAGCTGAGAAATTACATAAAGTATAGTTCCATTGAATGATCTATATTTTTGTTTACTCTATGTTTACTACTACTGCATCTATTTGTTATTAATAATTCACCTATTCCAATTTAATTAAAGGTATTACTCCACAAATCAAAGCTGCCAAGTGATATTGATAGTCTTTCATCTGCAGACCAAGAGCTCATAAGAATATACCGACAAGATATCTCTGATACAATAGTAAGTTGGATTTTATTAATTAATTGTAATTCCCATTTTAATAAATTGGAGAACAGAGAATTAAGGTTTAGCATATCCTGTTAACGATTCTATCCATCTCATATAGCACTGTCAATGGCCTTTAATGATCCAGATCAGATTTATCAAATCAAAAAATAGGATGATTAAATGTAATTAATTATTATTGAATGATTTTACTCATGTTAAAATTCTAAAAATATTAAACCTTTGATTGACTTCCATTGATAACTGATGTTTATCTTTAATATCCTAATAGCCCTTTTTTATATACATAGCTGCTCACGATTCCTCCAATTTTAATACCACGTTAAAAATAAACTTTAATTTCTTCTTAGTTTAATTGCTTTAATTAATTAGGAAGTTAAATAGCCAAATTTACCAGTTAAACTTTTATATCAATATCTTGTTGTATACGAAGACAATTATACAACATGTTTTGATTATATTTTCCTCTGGGACAGGTTTATTGTTATCATGTAGCCAGAGATCATTTAATTCGGCTGCTTGTCAGATGCCAGAGAGAAGCTCGAAGCTGGCAAGAAGCGGAAGCAGTTTTACATATAACTTTAGCACTCGCCGAAACTGCAACAGCTCAAGATGATGAAACTGTTATTGGTTTACTCGTTAATACACCGCCTGAGTACCTTAATCACAGGGTAATTAATGCTCTGAACCAAGCTGTTGGTAATTATCTTTTAGTGTTCTTCAACTGTTTATATGTTTTAACTTCATGATATGTGCCTTAATTTATCTAAGATCCATATTTTTAATACAGGTGCTTATGCAGAATGGCTTGGAAATGCATTACCACAATTGATACCAAGACTTGTAGCTTCTCTACTATCACCTGAGACAGCTACTTCTGCAACAATGGCATTAAAAGACATCACTAGGGAGCGGACAACTTCACTCGAGCCATATGCTGCTGGTCTTTTGGCAGCTTGTCAGGTCATTAAGAAACATATATGTCTGAATATTAAGAAACATTTTTTATCTATTACATTTTTTAAATTTTATACCTTTGTATATTTATTTATATTTTACTTTGCAGGAAGCTCTTAACAAAGGTCATTTAAAGCAGGCAGAATGCGTTAGATTAATGTACTCCATAGGCAGGCTATTATCAGTTATCCCTTACAATCATATGTTAGCTACTTTAGAACCTTTGTTGTCGAATTATGCTTCTGATATACAGCAAATGGTTTCGCAACCTCAGGTAGATCTATTGTTACACATTTCACTTTCATTTAAAGTAACACTGTTTTACTTTGTAATCTATTTCTGTTTGTTTTCAGATGAAAGGTAATTTGATTCTAAGGTTGAAAATGTTGTCAACTCTTTGTTCTTCATTGTATGCTTCAGAAGTTGGACCAGATCCTCCTGCCTTCTTGGTTTTAACACGTCTCCTTCCAGTACTTTCTGGAGTAAGCCAAGCCTGTGCCTCTGACCGAGCTGTGATAGAGGTGTTTAGTTATAATTAAACTAAATTCTGTTTTTGTTGAACTTAATAACAACAGAACAAAATCTGTATCCACAATTTTTTGTTAAATATGTTCTGCTGTTACCATAATGTACACTTTTTTTATTATATATTACAAAGATCGCTGACTGGATGTTTTCCCACACCTCCCCACTCTATCTCTATTACAAACAGGGTTGTACCGCTTCGGGACAGGAAATATCTGGTCACATTAATTATAGATAGCTACATAAACACACCACACCACTAGTTTACTTTAAACAAGTTTGTTTTCATTCTTTTGTTGTTGAATCTGTTTTTTTTTTTCTTGAAAAAAATTTGTTTTTGATAGTCAAATTCCAGTATTTATATAAATTACATTAGAAAAAATATCGATATATTAAAAAACAAATACTTATATTGATATTTTTCCAAATCCCTAATCCTTTGCCATCACAGCCTCTAGTGTTAATTTTATTTTATACATGCAGTATCACATGATAAATAAGTTGAGCTAGAGTATTTACATTATGTGATTGATCTGTATTTTACTAGTTGAAAATATTTAGCAGAATTTGAAGTCATGTTTTATGTACAAATGTTTATATCTCTATCTATGTTTTTCTTTTTTTTAGGAAGTTTGTCACTTTCTTCAGACAGCTGTATCAAATGCTATTACCACAAAGAAAGAAAAAGAAGTTTTAGTTCCTATCATTAGTTTAGGAGCGCATTGTTATGCTTCTCAACCAAACAAACAAGCCCTTGATCTTGTGCGGCAAGTATGTTATTGTTCAATTCATTCATTTAATTGAAGTTAATTGTTTGTTTCAATTACTCAAATGTATATGAATTCAACATTATAAATAGATGTAAGAGACAATAGGGGTATTCATGCGACTTGTAATAAACATTTCGCAAGAATATTGATTGAAAGTTATAACCTGGATTTGTTATTTTCAATGTTTACTAGCTTATTTGTCTTTTCGTTGAACACTGGCTCTTATCTTACCTCAATAAAATGTGGCAATGCTAAATTTATTAGTAGTTGAGAAAAAAATATTTAATAATTATTCACTTAGTTATGGATAAGAGGAGATTTTTGTTCTATTTCGTCCAACATTTTCTGTATTCCTTCCATATTCTTTTATTACATTCCATTTAACCTTAAACAAAAATATTAAATATAGGATGAAAAACTATCAGACTGTTAAAGTTGATTATGTGAGCAGCCAAATTCAGCACATAAATATTGAATAAATTTCTCTTCTTTAATACACTTCCAAGCTTTAAGGTACTAATTTCTAAGTTCTGGTTACATGAATACTCATAATGTCTGTCCTCGATGAATGTTGGCTTCTAAATCATGTATAGATCGTTTAGTCAGCCACAATAGTTTGAAATTATAGATTATGCCAGTGCTAAGGCTAAACAAAGAAATTTTATACTCTTCACTTTTAAAGGAGTAAAAACTTTTATGCTAGCCATTTATTCTTTAAGACTACTTGAAACATAAATAAATAATTGACTCATAATAACAAATTAATTTTTTGTGTCATTTCATTATCATGGACTTATAAAATTATAATCATACTTGACAAAAACAAAAGTCATATCAGAAAGGCATATTTTGTCATCATAAATCATTGAATAATTCAATACCTCAGTCAAAACAATGGTAAAGTATAGAAAAAAAAATTTGTGATGAATATGTAAAGAATATTTTTGAAATCTATATTATATTAACTATCATTTTTTATTTGGTAGCTTATTGTATACTTATTATGAACTGCCATCTTTATCTTCTTTGATCATATTCTGTCACAATTTCATCACTTCCACATTTTCCATATTGGCTTGATTAATTGGTAGTTTCACAGCCTCTCATTCTTTCATTTTTATTTATGGAAAAACAAAACATTTTTTACATTAATCTCTGACTGATTACAGATATATTTTAATTTTATTTGTCTGATCATTATATATTATTTACATAAATATTTTTCTATAGCATTTCTGAAATTTTGTCATTGTCAAGAAGAATATTAAAACAAACCGAACACTGAAACCCGTCCATATTGCATACCTTCAACTCATTTTCTCTTTGCTTATACAGCTATAAATATTCCTAACCTCAAAGTGATTTTTACAAATAAATTTAAAACTAATGCAATTATTTCAGATGTGCATATTGTATAGCAAAGAGAAAACCGAAAGCCTACACCAGCTACTTGCATCTGTGACCCAAGTTACAGTTCAAGTAAATCAAGCATTACCACCAGATGTTTTACAAGCCTATTTCCAGCTGTTAACATCTGTTGTTAAGAAATCACCGTTTTTACTTTCTCCATCGGTTGATGTTCATCATATTTTTAATTTTGGTAACTATTTCTAATAAATAATTGCTTCATTTTTACTTGATCATTCATTAATATTAAATAAATTATTTAATCTTAAACTTTCTTATCTCTTTACTACATAAATTCTAAATTATTATCTTTGTTTTTGATAAAATATTTTGTACAAAATGATTAATTGATAATTTTTCTACTAAAAAAAAAACAAATAAAACCTGAACCACTGCACCCATGAAGGGTCTTGGATTCAGTACTATTTAGAGGAAGTACTGTTGCAAGGCCAACTTTTGTGCAGGGAGGAGATCGGGCCAGGATCACATTCAACTACCAGGTTTTCCCTGTTAATTAATTAAGGGTGCCCACTTTGTAGAGGCTGGGTGTGCCCCAGGAGGGTCTCCTTACCCCAGGGTCACCCCACGGCCGATGAAACAGAATAAATAATTTTTCTGCCATGAGCTGGGATTCGAACCTGGGATCTTGAGCATTGAAAGTTCAGTGTCCTACCACTGAGCTACTCCACTCCCAAATTTCTCTACTATCTAGTTTATATTGTGCTATTTTGTACATTCCTAAATTATAATATTCAGGCTTCGGAAACATGAAGGTTCGTTACCTACACCAGCATTGATAGTAGCCTATATATTTCCCTCTCCTGAAAAAATCCAAATCTATTAGATATTTCTTAACACAATGTTCTTGTCTATCTTTGAGTATACATGACAATTGCCGTATTTGCTCAGATATATGTAGACCTTCATTTTGGAAATAATTTTCAGGGAAAATTTAAACTATTGAGTATTTACAAATATGATTTGCATACAAATTTCAAAAAGAAAGCGGCAAATTCTTAAATGAAGCATGGTATCAATATCTTTAAAATATTATGATAAAACTTTGAGATTAGACATAAGTACATTAGAACCTCAATTGAGATTGTATAATTGAGTTTTCAAAATTCTAATGAAAATGGCTTATTAGTAGCTGAGTTAAAAATATTATTATTTTCCAATTATTTATTTTATATTAAACTCATTATTAATCTTTTTTTTGTGACTAAAAATTTAATTGGACAATTTTTGGCCATCTCTTTGCAACCAGCAATTTAATTATGAAAAATAATTTGAGCATTTCTTAATATTTTTAACTAAACAAAAAAAAAAATATCAGTCAGTAAATGATGATAATGGGAAAGAGACTTTTTATAATTATATGTAGGAATTAGGCTTTTATAGTCCCAATGAATAGAATAATTTATTGTAAATCAAAATTTTCACCACATTTGCTTAGTGGTGCCCAGTCTTGAACTAGTTTTGCAAGACTGGGCTGCGTATCCCTGTGCCGTACTTTAATTTAAAATACAGTACAAATGAAAAAGATTTTACTTGCTTTTTCAAAAAAATTATAATATTATGTGTTCCTTAAAGAATAATTACGAACAGGTCATGCAGATTCTTTTAGCATACCATTTAAAAAGTTATCTTTTTCAAAAAATTATTTTATATTTTTAATTGGTAATTGGTTGACTGTCGTGGATAATGAAGAGAAGAATAGTTGGGGTGGTCAGTCAAAAAGGAAGGCAAAAATAAATGTTAATATTTATTTTTTATTTTTTACTTTTTATTTTTTGAAAAGTTAAATAAATATTAACATTTATTTTTGCCTTCCTTTTTGACTGACCACCCCAACTATTCTTCTCTTCATTATTTTATATTTTTTTCATTGAACAAATTTATGTCATTTAAAACTAATTTTAAAAAATATTCAATCCAACCATTCCTACTGTTTTTTACCAAATATTTTATCATGCCATACAATTATTGTTTTTGTTTAACAATATTTTCCTTGCACTTATTTAATATTTTATATATTCCCTTCCCCCCCCCTTCTTTTGATAACAAAGGTATTAATAAAATATTTGAGTTTTAGAAATTTATTTGAAGGATTAATAGTTTTTATTTTTTTTTTTTTTACTTATGACTGTTAAATGTTTTATAAAACATTTTTATTTGCAGCAACTGACTCCTTAATGGTTGCTGAAACCCCAGTTGTAAAAGCTGCTGGGTCTTTTCTAGTTGCATTAATTGCAACATCCATGGAAGATCAGTATGCTCCTGCATTTGCCCGTCCAATTGAAAATTGTGGTCATCATTTGGTTGCAACTATGTTAATATGTATTGGTAAGATTTAATTTTTTTTTTTTTTTTTTTATCAACCATATATCATAAAATGTATACCAACTTTACATAATTAGATATTAATGTGGTAATTTAGTAAATTTATGTTTAGAATTTCAATTTATATTCAAAAATTATTATCCAACTTACATATTACTTTTCACTTCCCCTTTATAGTATATTAAAAAATAATTTAATTTTGTTTTAGCTGGGTGTACACCAATGTCAGGCCTTGATATATTTGCAGATATTATTCTTGCACTCAATAAAAGATTTCTGGAACTATTTCCGCAATGGCTCAAAGGTGGGCTTGACCGACTTCCTAAACCTGATCCTGCTCAAAAAGAAAAATTTAGTAAAATGGTTATTCGGTAGGTATAGCTCTTCCTTGTATATATTTACATATCAATTATTTTGTGCAACTTCATTACTCAAAATTCATGATTTTTTAGGAGGTGCATTTGAAATTCTGTATTAATATTATTCAAAAGTATATATCCTTGCATTTGCTCATATTATGCTGCAAATCGTTTGCTATTTTATTATTTTTTAGGGTTTGAGAATATTTTTATCAGAAATAATATTAATTGTTTTTTTGATAAGAACTTTGTTTACCCTTGCGTAAATCTAGAATGCTGAGACATTTACCTAACTTCATAAAAATTACCTGAAATTTTAAAAATTGCTAAAACTGGTATCATTTCTAAAAGTAAACGCCATTTCAGTCCACATATAATTAAAATCAAATGATGTGTCTTAAAATATTAAGAACATATCATGATTAAATAATTTTCACTTTTTGCCAGTCATCTCAGGTTTAATTTTTATCACCTGTTCACAATAATGTGTAATTTGTTTAATTGTATATCATCACAAAATTACTGATATAAGGAACATGAGGGTTATACATGATCGACAATTGTTTCTTCTTTATGTAACATACCAATTTCCTGACAAATTATAGGGTCTCTGAATAAGTTTCCGCCATTTGTTTTTTAGAGAATTTTTGTTTGCCTACATATATCTGACAACACTGAAACCAACTAAATTCAACAGCTGATCATGTGTGCTTGGGTTATCAGTCTATTTTAAACCCTCAAAGTGTATACAACGTTGTTCTTATCTCTTCAAACATGAAGAATAATGTATCCTCAAAACCGTTTATGCAGTAAATTTTATTATACTATTTCTTCTAAAAGAAAACCGTAGCTGAAGGGAATACGATTCTTGTGGAAACTTACGGCTTTCATGCTCTATCATAAATTATGGTTTTAATGCTTTTAAAACAATGATTTTGATCTCGGAGATGATGGCCGACCAGGAATCCCTAAAAGAAGAAAGATAATAAAGACCTGCTTCAGTCTTTCAACCATCAAAAGAGATCGCCATAGACTATAATTGATTAGTTTGAGCCAAGCCATGAACCAAAAGTGACCACAATATGAGTGGAGACATGTTTAAGTAATTTTACTGTATGATAACTTTCGAACTCATGCTCTAAATTTGGTTAAAACTTATTTGGAAACCATGAAATTGGAAGTTCTGCCCCACCTGCCGTATTCACTAGGTATTGCTCCTTTCAATACCATTTGTTCCAAAAGAACACCCCAACCAGTATCTCTTCAATATATCTATGACATTCAAGACTATTATTTATCGACTATTATAATAACAATAACAAAAAAAAAAAAAAATCTGTACCACTACAATCCACGGAGGATCTTAGGTTCAGTACTATTTAGGGAAAGTACTGTTTCTTAGTCATCAGTTGTGCAAGGAGGTGATTTGACTGAGGCCACACTCAACCGACAAGTTTTCCCTCTTAATTAATTATTTACCTAAAGATATCGATTACAGTATAGAGGCTGGGTATGCCACAGAAGGGTGGGTTCATCTGACCCTAGTGTCCCCCCACGGCCAATGAATCGAAATAAATAATTTCTCTGCCATGAACTGGGAATCAAACCTGCAACCTTGAGCATTGGAAGATCAGTGCCCTACCACTGACTTACCCCTCTCCCATAATAACAATACTGATAGTAATAAAGTCTTTTACTATGTTCATAGCTCGACAACATAAAACAAATTAATATACTCAACATATAATATTACTAAAAATTACTTACATATACAAATAATAATTAATTCCACAATTAATTGATTAAAATAATTGATTAGTTATTGAAAATTACTAAGTACCTAAATGTTCAATGCAATGTGAATTAATTGAAATAAAGTTAATAAAAATTGTGGGACAGATAATAAAAAAAAATTGTCCATTATTCATACCTATTAGAGTCCCAACCAAGGTATACTTGTAAAAAGAATTATTTTTTTATGGAATATTATTGTAATGGTTTCTCTAATAACATACTATTACAATATTAATCTTTAAATGAATTTATTTATTTATACAGAATTAAAGATGTTATAACCTGGCTAAGTAAAACCAAATCTTTATTAATAATTATTAATTTTTTTTAAGTGTAGCTTGAATATTCGTTATATGGTAATAGTTTGATGTAATTACTGTTCCTTCATCTGTAGAATTTAAAATCATCTCCTAAGTAAATAAGAGGAAGTAAAAATCAGTATAAAACTTCATGGAATGTTGCAAACATTTTTATAATGATTCATAAACTATAGCTGTAGATATCTGCTTTGTATTAACTGTATCTTTTACTAGTATTGATTGAACATATAATAAAAATATAGCCATTATGTTAGAAAAATATAGATAGCATTTTGTAAGCCATATTAATTGTCAATTACCCAGTTTTTATTGTTTTTTGGAAAGATTCAGTACATAGGAAAGATTCTAAGGTCTTGCCATATTTAGAAACAATTAATATTCTATCATTAATGTATGTATTGTATTCAATTTTTAGGGAAAAGGCTGTTAAAAGGAAACTAATTGAAACCATCAAGGAATTTGCATTGATTTCCCGAGAACTTGTAACTATAGATTATAATCATTGAAATGATAGATTCTTGATTATTTTTAATGGTGAAAAGCTCACTGTAATAAATAACAATTAAAATTAAGTCGTCCATCTTTCCATTCAAATGTTTCGTTCCTAATGAAATAAGTTATAAAATAGGGGAAATAATTAAAGAACCCAGTATAAATTACAATCTACCTCTCATTGTTAGATTTTAGACAAATAAGCCGCCCATTTTATGAATTTAATCTGCTCTCTTAATATTTTTCTCCATTAAAATCTATATTTCAATGACTTTATGATTCATTTTGTAAATATATTTCATATTTCTTTCTATTTGTCTTTTAATATTTAATTCCTATTTTGAGATAGATTTTTATCAATGATTGCAAAAATTATTAAAAAAATTGTGCTCTTAAAAAATGTGATTTTTTTTTTTATTTAAATTTTAAAGTAGACAATCAAAATTTTAGATCAGATTATTTTTCTCAAAATTTTAGACACCTATTATTTTTTTCATTTGATTCAACCTATTTATGTTATGATTTTATATCTCTAGGCATATGTTTTTGTCTATATTATAGCACTATTTTATGAAAATTGATTGTTAATCAACAGAATTAGTTAACTAAATGAAGTCATTTGTATTAATTCTCTACAATGAAAACATATTTTAACTATAAATATAATAGGTATCTATAGTTAACATTATATTATTTTTTTATTCTACATTACATTATGTTTTTTAATAACTATTATTTTCTTGCAATGTGATTTTTTTCAAATTTTTAATAGAAAAAATCCTAACCTTAACCTATAGAAATCTAATATTAATAGTTATATAAGGAGTTGGTGTGGTGGGAGGGGGGGGGGGTTCGGTCAAATAAATACTATATGTTAAAATAGTATTTTATTGTTTATGTCGATGTTTTGACCCACTTTGTAGGTCTTCATAAGGGCTACAAAAGATACATAATATAAAAGGTACATGGTGAAAATAAAATAAATGAGCTATTAGTAGATACCAAATAGAAAACAGTTGTCTGATAAAGAAATAATAAGATGACATCAGAGATATGGTGGGTGACAGTGTAGTTAAAATATCAAATATTAAATATATAGAAGTTACTAACAATTTTTTAATTTTCTATTTTTGTTTGTATCTCCTATATATGTAATATTTGATATTTTAACTACACTATCACCCACCATATCTCTGATGTCATCTTATTATTTCTTTATCAGACAACTATTTTCTATTTGGTATCTACTAATAACTCATTTATTTTATTTTCAATAGTTCATTTATTCTATTTTCACCATGTACCTCTTATACTTTGTACTGTTTTTAGCCCTGATAAAGACCTACAAAGTGGGTCAAAATTTATTTGACCGCACCCCCTCCCCATCCTCACCAACTCCTCATATTGTAATCACGGTCAACCACCTCTATACCATTAATAGTTATAGTTTTCAAGTAAAGGTGATTTTAAGTAAATTATGTTTGAAATACAGATTTAGTTGTTTTTTTAAATTATAATTATATGATATTATTTACCTAATACTGATGTAACATTGCTGTTCTCTAATTTAAGTCTTAATGGATTATCAATATTAGGTTACAATTCCCTTATTAAATTATATCTTGGTGCTAAAATTATTTGTGCCATTTTTCAATTTTAATTTGACCAGTCTTTTAGATATTATGCACATAATGTGTGTAATGTTTATTAGCAAAGACCTTATAAACAATTTGTTTTGACCATGATGTTTACAATTTACTATATTATATAATTATGTATTTTTGTTAATGGCTATTTTAAACTTTTTTTTTTTTCTATTTTCTATTTACTGTAAATATTGCTATTATTAGCAACCTATAAATTCATGTTTTGTTGAACCATATGTAACGAGACTGAATAATTTTCCTAGTGGTAGAGTATCTGTTAGGAATCTTTGTTGTTTTATTATTTTGGTGAAACTGAAGTTTTCCAGAAAAAGTTGTATATATGTAGTTAATTACTTTCTACCCTATTATAATGTAAATAAATATTTGTTGTTTAATAATATTTTGAACATTGAAATAGAAGAAATTTACAATAAAGTATGTGAAATTCATTTATAAATCAATTAATTCAATATTCCAAACTTAAATTGCATCAAATACCATTTTAAATTTTTTCATTGTCGATAATTTTCTTTTTCTTTGTATTATTTTTTTTTTCTGTGTGTAATTTAAATTACTAGCTGCATATATCTTATCTTTTTATACCAGATGTACTGAAACTGTTCCATATTTTAATTTGACCTAAAAAAGTTACATATAATAGCATATCAAGTTACAATGAGACAGAAAAAAAAAAGAAATGATCTTATTTTACCATTATTTTAATTCAATTTCAAAAAGCTAATTATTATTGTATTTTTTGCTGTTTGGGACAACTTTGAAATACAATTAAATTAAATCTCATGAAATGTCTTTTTTTGGGGGGGGGGATAACATTGGTAAAACATAAATGTGTGAACTCAGATTTTATTTACTTCTGTGCAATTAAAATAAAGAAGTTAAATAAAATTTGTTTCCCTCTCCATGAAAGCTTGTTGTTAATGATCTTTAAAACAAGTAAACACTATTTAAACTGTGTAGTCCCTAAGTATTTGAGAACTCCAACTTTTAAGCCTTTAAGATTCTCCTTGATCTACTTTTAAATGTATGATTATTATTCATACAGGAAGAAAGGCTCATGTTTATTATAGAAAAATCAGGTTTTGCTCTACTTAGTAATATCTATCTAAATAAATGGTCATTTTATTTATTTATAGTTTATTAATGTCATCTCCAAAACTGATATTTCATATGTATGTTATAACGTTAAATGTTCAGATAGAAAATTTTAAATAGATTTTTAGGTTTTCAGTTAAGTTACTGGTCCTGTTATAGCACAATTACTTTCTTTTTATATTTTTTGTTGGGAATCAGACTTATTTTTGGATGAACCTTTCTTTCAGTCTCGAATTTTTGAAATTCGAATGAAACTGGTAAGTTGCAGAACAAAATGAGCAAAGAACCAGTTTACGCTGACGCTATAAGTGAAATGACTGTCCATTTTTCAATAGCCACATCATGAAGGAAGATAGATTAGGTTAAGCCAGAAGTTTTCTAACTACAGAATGTTTTCAAGGTTTGACTCAGTAACACTTCCAATCAGGCCTGCGAAATTTTCTTTAATTACATGGTAAAATTTTAAAAATATGAAATTTAATAAATCAGTCCAATTGAAGGATACCTACTGCAACTTTTATTGCATTAGTTATTTCTCTAAGGAATTTATTTCACAACTGAAGTGTTATTTATGAAACAATTTTTTTTTGTGTGTGTTATTGTTTATATGCTGCGATCTGTGGTACTTAATGGAGATCTCAATGTGGCCTACAGGCCAAAAAGTTAGAGGCCCTGAGTTAAGTTAAGTCAATCCTATATTAACTTTTGGCGCTTAGTAGAATCCAACCAAATATAATATTTCAAAACATCCTAAAAATTATTTTCTACTCGACTTGATTTCTGACTGTTAAAAAGAACTTATTGATAGCAATAATTAATTAAAAAAATTAAACTGTTCTTTCATAAATGATAAATCGATTCTGTTTCACTTGAAAATTAAATTTACATTATTAATTTTATTATTTTGCAACTTTATTTATGATAAAATTATATGCACAATAAGATAAAATAGTTACCAATTATCCCTCTCTCTCAAATAAATATCTATCATTAGAATGTAATTATGCTTCTAAATAAAATATATATAACTTTTTTTACTATAAGAATATACAGGTAACCATTTCTCTATCATTATATAACTTTGAAATAACTAGAGTGCTGAACTTACTATCATTTTGACAATTCATAGAAATAGTATAACATTAATTATGTAAATAAGAAAACCTATAATGTCCTGAGATAATGAATAATTTTGAATTTTTCATTTATTAATTTCACCCCTCTTCTTAATATTGCTTTTTATTTTTGACTTGGTCAGTTGACTTTAATCTGGTATTAATTTTTTTCCCTTTGAAAGGAGCAATAACAAAATTCAACGAGCAAAGGTTCCACAACTCAATAAATTACTGATAAAAATGTAGGGAAAATCATATCAAACATTAATGAATCAGCAGGCCTTCAAGTACCAATGGTTGAAGAAGTCAAGGGGGCAGGGTTGGCTAACAGGTCAACCCAAGGTCAGTAAAACTACCAGGTTCCCTCACTCAGAGGGAAAATGGTGGGGAGGAATTGAGCTCTGATGTAGCCAAAAGACTGATTTTACCCCTCTGGCCTTTGTTTCTGGACATTTTAAGATTATTATTTACTTTTATACATTAAATCAATACTGTATTACCAAATAACTTAATAATTTTAATAAATTTGAAAGGTGAGAGAAAGGTTGATTTGATATTTGGTTTATTCTAAAGCAAATAAAATGTAATTTAACAAGTTGATGTATGATTTTTTGCAAAGTACTGCAATACTACTTTTTAAATATTTCAAGTAAATACAGAGCATAATATAAAATAATAGAAATATCGAAAAAAATAAAAAGTATTTAATCTAACATTAAAGAAGCGTTTTCTTTCCGTGAATTTTTGTAAATATTACATTGCAAAATGCAACTGCACATTTTGTACGTGGCATTCCATCGGATTCTATTAATAATTATGTTATTATGAGAAATACAAGAAACACTAATAAGAACAAACAAATTCTCTATAACATGTTATTAAAAATAAAACATAAATACTCGTTATAATATTATTTTAGAGACGGATAAGTACTTGACTGTTAAGATTTAAGATTATAAGGTGAAAATAAATTATCAGGATTTGTAGTAAAATTTGTTTATTTTTTAATTAAATTTATTTATTTAAAGAAATTTTGACTGCAAATCCTGACAAAGATCTTCACCCTTATAATATTATTATATCGTTATAATATTAAAAGAAATACCCCGGAGCTAAAATGTTCTCTAAATAAATGTAAATCTTAGTTTTTTCCATTTATGTAATATATTTATATATTATTTACAGAGATTTTGAAAAAAATAATTTATAAATAATCTTAATATCAATTTCATTCTTTTCATTTCAGGCCTGTCCTGTAATTTTCATAGCATTTTAGTCTAGATTGATAGCCGTATTTATCTACTTGAAATTATCTTCAATCAAACGTCAAAAACACAGAAAAGTATTCTTCTCAATAAATTAAAGAAGAAATAAAAAAAAAAAAAAGCACAATAATGTTGAAATAAGCCTTCATTGATAGGCTTGGATGAGTAATAGGTAGGTCTGACAGTCTATTCCTTACGTCACGTTTCAAGTTCCCCCACCACGCATTTCTGAGTGAGCGAACCTGGTAGTTTTATTGACCTTGAAGTCAACCCCTGTGTACAGCACTATGGGTTGCCTGGCAACCTGGATAGAAGATTATGTGATAAAATAAGTCGCCGTCTCAGTACCAAGGGGATCTTTTAACTCTGGCATTAATCCCCTGGGCTGGGAAAACCCCCGTAGAGCATAAAAGGGGAGGAAAAGAAAAAAAAAGGTTGAAAAAAGTCAAGATAAATCAACATATCGTTCCATTACTTTTATTGTAACAATTTGTTTCTGAATTGGTATTTTCTGTTTTAGAGGGATCAGGAGAAAAATAAACACAGAAACGATTCGTCAATATCGCTCACGTGTCGAAGCAACAAGTGTAACGCATAATTATATAATTTCTTGCACGTGCAGGAGTTCATTCGACGAAACTTTTTCAGAGATTGATCTTATAGTTCGGTGATCAAACATTGTCAAGGATGCGTTTGTTTCCTGGTACAAAGAGTTCAAGGAAACACAAGAACGCGTAGAAAGTCAATAACATGATCGCTGTCCTCTGACCGGCATTACGGAAGAAAATGTTCGTGTGGTTCGAGAAAAATAGAAGACATTAGACGGGTGGGAATCAGAAATTTCAAAACAGTTCAGAATAAGTTTGGGGAGCTGTTAAGCAATTATCATAGGCGACCTACAGTTTTGTACCAATGTACAAACCTCAAACTTACGATAAAACTGATCAAGGAAGAATTTGTTTTATTGAACTTGAGAATGGTGATGCATACAAATTTAGGAAATCTATCAAAGTGACGTTCTTCAGACAACTTCAAACAATTGTTCATTCTTGAATTAGAGAATGGGGACAGTTAGATATATAAAATGAGATCGACTTAACTTATAATGCCTTAATCTTGGAATTTCTCCTTCTAAATCGGAGATACCTACTTACTGACGGGCTCTACAGTCTGAGGTAGACCTTGGCCTCCTTCACGATCTTTTTCCAATCTTCTCTATCTCTCATTCTTATCCTCCAATTTACCACTCCCATTCTCCTTAAATCCTTCAATTTACCACTCCCATTCTCCTTAAATCCTTCAATTTACCACTCCCATTCTCCTTAAATCCTCTTCCACGCCACTTTTCCAACATTTTCTCGGTCGTTCTCTTTTCCTTTTTCGGGGAAATTCCTCTCTAACTATCTTTTTCGTTGCTTTTTCATCTGGCAGTCTTTTCACGTGTCCTAGTCAACCAATTCTTCTAGCTTTAATAAAACGCAATATCTTCGTGTTTCAATAGTTCATCCAGCTCCTGATTTGTCCTTATCCTCCACTCTCGGTGTATGCATAGGAGGCCAAAAATTGGTCTCATGATTTTTCTTTCTAAAATCCTTAGTGCCTTCTGTTCAGCTACAGAACTACGGCTATTCAGCAACTAAAAAACGAGAAGTAAGCAACTGGCCAATTTGAAGAGTCACTAGTTATAATCTCGCCTCTGGCGCTTTCAAATCACGGGACAGCCCATTCGAATATTGAATTAACCGATTGCATTACACTTACATTGCCAAATATTAAAAATAAAATAAAAAATCTTACTTAGTCGAAAATTAACGTAAATTCGTTTAATTTATTTTCCTCCACTGCTCGTAAGGGTACAAATGCAACTCGTGTGTGAGGACAAACTAGACATTTTTGTTGTATAACTGTTGGGAAATAATATACAATTGTGTTTTAATTTAAAGTCTTTTTTTTTAATGTATCTTTAAGTAATAAAAGATTCAATGAGTTAATATGTATCAAGTTCCTTTATTTTTACACACTTTTAGAGTAAAATTTATGGATGATATTAAAACAATCTAAACAGAAATCATATAACCATACAATACAAACTTTCAAAAATTTATTTTAGGTTAAATCAGTAAAGAATTATGATTTAAAAACAATAAATATTGTTTATTTGTATTAGATAGTTACGACAAAGCAAACCTTCCCTGCTTGAAAATGATGCTTTTAAACGTGTTTATTCATAACTAGTAATGGAATTATAAATATCAAATTAGGAGTTTTTAAAAAATGCAATATATTAAGAAAATTACGGAAAGTAGAAAGGGGAGGTATGACGTTTTCTCTTATCAATGAAATCTAAGAGGAAGATCAAAGGTACATTTTAATTCTTAGTTTTTATGTATTTTCCGGGTTCTGTGATGGTCACTCACACATCCAACAAAATGAATGACGATTCAGCGAATTTCTGTCCAAGTTACTTCATCTAAACCTCAAGAACTAAATGCAACACTGTGAATGATATTGTTTTGAAGAGGGTTTGTTTTGAAAAAGGTACTAAGCCTGTTTCCCACTCAATGGTCCTGATTTTTTTTTATTGTCTTCTCCTATTTTAGTTGGTGTTTAATTATCTTTTTCAGGCATTGAATTGATAACAAACAGTGAAAATGGGTGTACCAAAATTTTTCAGGTTTATTAGTGAACGTTACCCATGCCTCTGTGAAGTGGTGAAAGAATATGAGGTAATTAAGCTAAATTTGAATTACTTGTTGTAAGACAAAATTTTCTAAATTTTAATTTTTAGATTCCAGAATTTGACAATTTTTACATTGATGCTAATGGAATCATCCACAACTGCTCTCACCCTGATGACAGTGTTCATTTCAGGATTAGTGAAGAAGAAATTTTTAAGGATATATTTTACTATCTTGAGGTATATATTTATGAATTGTTCATATGCCTACTGTTTATTCAGGATACCAACTTTACCAAGTTAGTAAGGTACCACTGTATGTTATAATGAGTTTTTTTGTTGTTAGGTTTTATTTAGGCTGATTCAACCAAAGAAACTGTTTTTCATTGCTATTGATGGTGTTGCTCCTAGAGCTAAAATGAATCAGCAAAGAAGTCGAAGGTATGTTTGAATATATTACTACATGATGCATTGATCTTCTAAATGACTTATTGTTTGTAATAAAATATTAATAAGTAAATTTGTAATTATTTATCCAGCAATGAGTACAGTTTTTACTCTAGATACCAAAAATTGTTATCATTCATCAAAGAATTGGCATATTCAGGCACTACTTATCATGTGTTACTCCAACTTGGCGACAGAGCATAGATCACATTAATCCAAATGTAAACAATTTCAAAAATAGTCAAATTGCCTGATAGTAGACGGAGGGCGATTTCTCTATTTTTCTTAAAAACAAATTATGGAAAGTATTTGATGATGAACTGAATAGAATCCATCTCCGTTGATTTGGACCTCTGATTGGCAAGGGTCAGTCTCGCCTGAAATGACCCTTTTGTGTTGGTTTTTCTCAGGAGTGAAAGTTTATAGAAATTTTATAATTAAAGCAGTAATAATTTTAATAACTCCAAATAATCCTGAATCTCCTTGAAAATATGACTCGATATTTGTTCACTGTAATACCGTTGTATTGACCAAAAGATATATCAGTTTCTTTTATTATTCCATCTATAATTTATTCAATCTAACCTTACTCCCACTGCCATATTGTTGTGACATTTTTTGAAACACATTTTTACAATTTTCTCAAAAATGGCTCTAACGATTTTGATTGATCATTGTATAATTATTTGTTCATTAATATCATTTAGGTCTTATTGCCGTTGATGTTATTTTACAGGGCTTAAATGCCCAATGTTCATATGCGTCTTCCTCTAAAGTACCTTTAATATGGTTTATTTTAAATAATTACCTATCTCTCATTATTAAGAGATACGAAAAATGCTAAATATAACTTTTGAAAGATTTTGATAATTGCATAAAAGAGAAAAAAATAAAAATGCTTATCCAGGTCGAAAATGAATCTCCAGAAATACTGGTCAGAAGGTATATCTATAATATATCGTTGGAAAGCGGAGAATTGTAGAAAAACAATATCTAATATGGAAAGTTACGGAGAGTGGCAAAAGAATAATAATTGTTGAAAACAAATAATATTTAATGAAAATCACATATTTTGAAGAAAATTAAATGAAATTTACGAACTAAATTTAAACTTTTAAAATATTCTTAAGTTTGAAAAAAGTTTATAAAATCCACCTAATCAATGACATTGTTAAAAAAACTATTTCATTGTACTTGTGTGAAAGAAGAAGTAAAATATAAAATCATTTCATGGATGTATAAAGCATATGTTTATAACCTTAAATAGATTTACTGTAGTTAAATAATTTTAGATCTGATATTATATTTAAATAATTAGATATCAACGTCCGTTTATTCCGAAATATTGTCATGTAACTTTTTAGAAAATTAAATTAGTGAATAATTTGATGAATCTTCCCTTAGTGATATTCCAACAGTATCCACTACTATTTCATTGTACTTGTGTGAAAGAAGAAGTGAAATATAAAAATATTTCATATATACGTTTATTAAATTAAATATATTTACTGTATTTTAATAACTCTACATCTGTTATTATATTTAAATGTTTAGGTATTTATCGTCCGTAAATTCCGAAAAATAATCATTTAATCTTTTAGAAACTTAAATTAGTGAATAGTTTGATGAAATTTCCTTTTGTGATATTCCAACAGTATCCATTTTTAATTAGTGTGACAACTTTTGACCTGTTTATGCAGACAATGTAAATTTCTTAATTCCATTTTAGTAAACTTTGCAATGGAAAATAACAGTTTAATAACAAATAGTTATACAACTCATAATCAATGGATCATGCAATCCATAATCAACTGATGATATAATAAATAAAACTTTTGTTAATTTAATGGTATTTATGATTTGTTAGCTGTAATTTTTTAGCTTTAGCTCAGTTAAAAATGCAATTCAAAATTTAATTATACCCCAACATGGCCAGAAAATGATTTCTATTCAAAGTTGAGTGGTAAATGAAAGTTGTGTGTTGCGTGCACCAAATTTTTTTATATATTTTTAATTTTTTTATTCCACCAAGACATTTATTTTTTATTTATCTTATTAACTGCACAGATTCAGAACGGCAAAAGATGCTGAGTTAGCCCTTAAAAGAGCTGTTGATAAAGGTGAAGAGCTGCCTGACACTGATAGATTTGATTCTAACTGTATTACTCCAGGAACCGTTTTTATGGACAAGCTACACAAGCAGCTGCAATATTTTATCAAGCATAAGATCTCAACTGACTCAACATGGCAAAAACCAAAAATTATTTTATCAGGCCATAATGTAAGTTTTTTGTATGTTTTAGTAATAATAATTAATTATGAATGCTTTTAAATAAGTAGATTTTTATTTTCACTTACTTTTTTTTATAAAATATATATTAAGAGAATGTATTGAGATTATACAAATTTTTAAACTAAGTTTAATGGAACATAAAAGTTTCTACAGAAATCCAGAAGTGTCCTCACTGATTTGCACTTTTTTTTTCTTCAATTTTCTCATAAATAGCTTGAATGATTTTGATTTAACATTTTATTTCAATCTACAATTTAATGTTTTTTGCTTTATAAGTCTTATCCTAATTGATGTAATCTGACGGTATTTAATTGCTGAATTTCCAAATTCCTTCCTCTTAAATACCTTCAAGAGGTACGTAATCATTTATAAAATATAAAACTGAAAAGACAGGAGAAAGTAAATCAGGAAATTGAGGCATTATAGAATATACCAGAGCAAATAATGAATCCACAAAATTAATAGTGTCAGGAAATATGAGTCAGAGAAGCATGATAAGGAGTAAACAAGGAAGAATTCTTATGCTCAAGGATGCGTGAGCTAGGTGGTAAAAACACTTCCAAACTTTATTAAATGAAAGTGAAGAAGTTTCCATAATGGAATTCTCATACTTACCTCACAATAGAACAGAAATGGAAGAAATCCTACCAGACAGGGATGAAGCTGAAAGTACCATAGAAAAGCTGATATATTAAATTGTCTCTTCTGGATGGAATACCATCAGTTGTTGGTACTAATTTAGCCAAGGAGGTTCTCTCTGGTGCAATTGTTCAGGCTGATGCAAAGCTGGGCCGAGGCCCTTATCATGCCAATATTTAAAGGCAAAGGAGACCAAACCAGAGATTCTAGAAGTGATTTGGTCATCTAATGAGGATGGACAAAAACAGGATGCCAAATTGACTTTATGACGGTTCACTAGATGGAAAGCGAAGTAGAGGGAGACCCAAGGGCTATTGGAGAGATAGTGTACTCCAAGATATATGGTATTTCAAGGTGAAAAAAGTCCATGTAATAGATGGAGAGAAGTGGATGGTAGAAGTTGAAAAAGTCAAGGGCTGCGATATGCACCTGTTGGACTAAGCAAAGACAGAAGACAATACCTCTAATTTGAAAAATTCTATTATCTCATCCTCTAATTTAATTTAATTCAGCATAGAAATTGATTTTTAACAATGATCCATTTTTCAATGTTGATGACATAAGAAAATTTTGATTTGCCCATGTTTTTTTTTAAATTTGTTTGAGGTGCTTATTTTTTCTAAACTATAACATTTAACAAACGTAATAGAGAATATATATTATATTGATAAGTTTAAAGTATGAACTTATTTCCGAAAATATAAAAAATTACACTTCATATTCAGAATGCATGAAAGATATTGTTTACACACAATGAAGCACATCCCATAAAAACTGATTATTATTTATTTATTATTGTAAACTACATTTCCTTAATAATGTATTGTTTATCAGGTTCCAGGTGAAGGAGAACATAAGATTATGGACTATATTAGGTACTTGCGATCTCAAAGTGATTGGGATCCCAATACAAGGCATTGTCTTCACGGCTTGGATGCTGATCTCATTATGCTTGGACTATGTACTCATGAACCTCATTTTGCTCTTTTAAGAGAAGAGGTATTTTAAATATTGAGTTTGTTCTCATGTTTTAAAGTTATTTGTATTTATTTCTTATTTTGAAAAATGTCAGCACTGCTAGTCCGTGGTACAGGCCACTTTTCACGAAATTATTAACATCCGCCTAAAACTTTGTGAGTGGCTTCACTTTGTCGTAACCTACAAATATTTTAGTTATGAAAATTCTCGAAATTGGACCATTTGGCGTGACCTACAACCCCAACATGTCTTAAGAACGACATGAAAATTTATGAACATCAAATGGTCATTCATAGTGGCCTACAAAAATATTGGAACATTTGGCATGACCTACAACCCTAACATGTCGTCAGAATGACATGAAAATTTATGACATCAGGCTGATTTTCACATTAATGGTTAATAAAGATTAGTGCAATTAAATGGTCATAGTGACCTAGAAATATATTAGGGTGTTTTCGAAAAAAAATATATATATATATCTATGTATTCATTACAGTCACTCACTAAGTAGCCTGAACATCAAAAAAAATAAATAAATAAATAATTTCGGAAAAATCTCGGGTTAGGCTTTTATTTATGGAAGGAAAGAAGGACAATTAACTGATTTTGTTTCTCAGTTTTTTGTAAATATCTCAACAACTATGAGATTTGACGCAAGTATCATTTGATACAAAATTAAAGTACTTTAAAATTTCAATAAAAATTGTTCAATACATTTTCTTGATAAAATCAGTGGTTACGGAAATATTAAAGGGACAAAATGAATGGAACTACACTTTCAGTAAAAATTGCTTCAAACGTTATAAAATCGCATTGTCCAATAGACATAATACTGATTCAAGGTTGAATTTGTTTTATTAACATTTCTAAGTATTTAAAAACATATTATAATCAAATTCTCTTTGTTTTAATGGTTTTTAAATAACTTAAATAATAAATCATCGAGAATCAAGAAAATAAATAGAAGCAATATTAATTACCAATTAGTCTTATATATCTTCCAATGCACATTATTTGATAATTAGTACCTTTCCGCATTTTATTCAAGAGCTTTTGATATTAAAGAACGTAAAAATTTTTTTCAAAAAAACATTTTGAGCTAAACTCTTCACTCCATTATGTAAACATAGGACTGATTATTACTACCTTTTCTTTATCTAAATATGGAAGAAGCTAGAAAATCATTGGACTCTTCTATGCTTTGATTTTGGCATCTTATTGCTGAGGTATAGTTTTCTTGATGCACTAAGATCAAGTTATCTGTCCTCAGACATTCAATGATGTTGCAATTGTCATGAGTATAAAGTTGGATTTTGAATGTAACTATTAAAATATCAGTTCAAAGAAAGATTTCAAAACTATTAACAAATGAATTTTCAATTTGTATAATCAATAGTATTCACATTTATTTTCTCTTTCAGGTTAAATTTTCAAGAACTGCAAAAAAACCTAAAAATGTTGAAGAAACCAAATTTTTTTTACTTCATCTGTCTATGATGCGAGGTTATTTAGAATTGGAATTCCAGTCATTAAAAGAGAAATTGTCTTTTGAATATGATATTGAACGCATCATTGATGATTGGGTAAATTTATAACAAGTATTATATTGTAAATTATGTATGTGAGTAAAGGAATAATTTTATTTAGTATTGACAAGTGTCAAGATTAAAATAAAAAAACTAAGTTGTATGCTTTAGATCACACGATAGAAGTGAAAACATCAACAAGGCCAGGTTAATATGAAATAAAAATTATAAATAATAGCTCATTATAAAGATGATGAAATGATGGACATTTTCCTCACTTACAGTATGCAGGCCCGATTTTTAGTTTCTGAGATATTTTAATCCATATCTTCAATAAAATTCGTTATCATTTCCAACATTATCTTTTCTTTTTCGTCGTCACGTTAAGATACAATTTTAAATAATAGCCCATTATAGAGATGATGAAATGCTGAACAATTCCCTCGTTTACAATATATAGGACCGATTTTTAGTTTCCGAGATATTTTAATCCATATCTTCAATAAAACACGTTATAATTTTGGTTGTCGACACTAGTTTTTCCCTTTTCGCCTCTCTAACACTGCATCACGTTAAGATACAATTTTGAATAATAGCCCATTAAAGAAAGGATGAAATGCTGTACAAAACGCTTGCTTACAGTATGCAGGTCTGATTTTTAGTTACTGAGATATTATAACCTATATCTTCAATAAAACTCTTTATAATTCTGTTTGCTATTTATATTAATGACCTTCCCAACCAGATCCATCACTCCCAATACCACATCTATGCAGACGATTTCCAAATATACCTTTCCGACCTATTAGCCGCCACAAAAAAGCTTCAATAAGATTTAAATAGAATATACGACTGGGCAGGAGTTAACAAGTTGAAGTTGAATGCGGAAAAGACCAAGGCAATCCTAATAGGCTCCAATTACCTCCTCAAAACTGTCCCTAACTTTCCAACCCTCTTTTTACATGATAATCCCATTAAATTTTATCCCACCATCAAAAACCTTGGAATAATCTTCGATCAAACCCTTACCTGGAAAAACCATGTGTCCAATATCTCCCGACGTACCTTTTCCACCCTAAAACACTTAAATAGCCTGCGACACCTTTTTCCTTTTGAAATCCGTAGACTCCTGGTCACCTCTTTAATATTTCCCCATTTAGACTATTGCTGCACGGTATATGGGGGCGTCTCTGGAGATTTCAAGGCGAAACTAAAACATTTGATAAATTGCTTCGTACGATTCATCTTCGGGATCCCAAGAGACGCTCCTGTTTCCTGTTTCAATGAAGAGTTGAAGTGGCTTTATCCTTCCAACCGCCGTAAGTATTTCCTGACATCCTTCCTCTTCCAAGTAATTCACTCCCACCGTCCTTCATACATCGCCGAGCTCCTTCAATTTAAATCCTCTGTCCACTCCCGCAATACCCGTTCCCGGTCCTCAGATCTATATATAATGGCCCACCGAACCGCTGCTTTCGATAAATCATTTATTATTCGATCCTCTTCCCTATGGAACTCCATCCCTCCCCACATCCGTCAATCCAAAACCCTTCCTACCTTTAAATCCCAACTGTTTAATCATTTCTTATCCATCCAGTCCTCATCATAAAATTGTAAATAGTTACTACTGTAAATATGTATATAAATTATTAGATCGTTCTTTATTATTTTTACTTTATATTTATTTTCAATTTTTTATTTTTATTATTAATTGATGTAAATTAGAAAGTAACTTATAATTTCTCTAAATATTTTTTTTTTTACTATTTAATCAAACTATACTCTTGTTTATATATCTCTGAGGCTCCTTAGCCCACATTTTTGTTTCTCTGTATTATTCTAAAGGGACTCGTCCCAGAATAAATAAAGCATTATTATTATTATAATAATTTGATTTTTGACACTATTTTTTTACTTGATATTTTAATTATATTTATACTTATATATATATTGTTTGTATGTGTGGTTATATTTCTAGCTTCTAATTTTGTTTTTAGGTATTGATGGGTTTTTTAGTAGGTAATGATTTCATTCCCAATCTCCCTAAGTTTCACATTGCTAACAATGCCCTTCACAAATTGTATCAAGCTTACATGGAGGTTCTTCCTTCTTTAGGAGGTTAGTACTGTCATCATTATTTCCACATTATCTTATTGTTATGTTGTTGTTTTATTGCTATGATAAAAAAAATCTTTTATTGTTAGTATAAATTATTTTAAAATTGCTTTATTTGTTCTCAGGGTACATAAATGATTATGGGACTTTGAATTTAGAAAGGTTTGAAAAATACTTAACAAAACTAGCTGAAATGGAACTAGACAATTTTAGAGATATACAAGCTGATATTAAGTATTTAGAAAGTAAATCAGGAAAGAGTCTTCTTTCTGATGAAACTGATGTAAGTGACTTTATATCTTTTATAAGTAAATTTTATAATATTTGTTTTTATCCTCATTCTTCTATTTACTAGCTAGTGCCTGAGTCTTATTCATTGACCTATTGTTAAAACTTATTTAACACTAATCATACCAAGACTTAATATATACCTATTTCTACCATAGCAGGTCAAATGACCCGACTTTATGTTTCATGCTTGAATGTATGAAATATGGATGTTAGGAAGGAAATAAAAATATAAATTAAATTTATTATGATTAAACAAAATAGTATGTTGAGCATTTCTATTACAAAAGCAAAAAATAAAAACTTTTAATTCATAGTTCATCGCAGTGGTGCTCTTCCAGGTGTGCCACCTACTTGCATTTGTTGCCAAACAGATCCATCATTCGCAACATTTTCTTCATTTATTTCTACTTCACTTTCTTCCGAACTTGTGAGTAATCGTATTCTTTTTCGGCCACTACATACATTCACAATATTTTCCTCTTCATCGTCAGTATCTGTAGAATCAAACTCATTTTTATTTGCAACCGATATATCTTCATTTTCAGAAAATTCATCTTCACTAATTTCTGAAAACTCTTCGCCAATATTATTTATATCTTCTAAGAACTTGTACTGTCTTGTTTGCTTCGACATTTTTCTGGGTAAAAAATGATCTGTATTACTATAGCTATCAAAATAAAATATAAGCTAGGTACTTACCAAGACTTTCAATTTTTGCCACTTTTTCTTACACTAGAAAGCTATTTTCAATCTAAAATTTGATATTTTCTTGAAATTATTCTGAGCTATTTTCGTTGAACTACTTTACGCAACAGTCTTTGGAAGAATGTGCAACTTACTGACTACAAATATGACTAGATAATCTCATAAAACAAAAAAATTCTCTCCGGGTCAAATGACCTGTTGTGGTAGATATCGGTATACAAGGATTACTCAGAATAAACAAAACAATACTTTTATAACTGTACATTAATTACTTAGAAAAAGTAATTAATGTAGTCATGAAGTCAAATGTGCAAACGCAATAAAATTATACGTGCATTTTCAATGGAAAAGTTCAAAATGGGTCATTTGACCCGTTATGGTATGTTTAGTGTTAATTTTAACTGCTGAGACATTTATTTATTTTATCTGTAAGATCAGAATAAATAAGTCTTTCATTTTTTGCAAAGATATACTTGAACATTCATTTGCTGCTCCGAATGTATCTATATTGAAAATTCAATTATTTCACTCAATAGCTAAGGTATCAACAAATTTGTCATGCTATGGGAGGACTGCAGTGCATAGGACACAATGCAGAGATAGCATTACTATATTGTTTGATTTGTCAACTTTTATCTTTATTTGTTTTTTAATTGGCATGCATGGATTATTGGGTACCTTTAGGATAGTGAAAATGGATCTTGAGGATATTGAACTTTTGTTTTAATAAAGAAAATATAGTAGTTGCTTAAACAGTATTGATCGAGACAATTAAATAATAACACCTATGATTCTAAACCAGAGAAATTGAAGACATTATTTTAAAACAAATTTTGATTTATTTTTTTTATTTTAGGATGCCTTATCTAAATTTGATGATGATTTAATACGCCTCATGGAAGATTCTAATAAACTGGTAATGAATATAATGTTTTTTATGCTGGTTTAATCCATTTATTATTTACATTTATTTTTCAACAAATTTTTTTGTTTTTATAATTTAGTTTGAAGGTGATGTTGACCTGGATTTTGATAGTTCTGATGAAGAGCAACTTATACAGGACGAGTTCAAACATCATAAGGCCCGCTTCTATATGGAAAAATTAAACTATGAGAATGTAGACAGGTATTTTGTTTGTTTTTTTTTTAATTTTTTCTTCTCTTATTTCATTTTGAAATTTATCTTTTTAAAGATTAATGTTTTAATAAAAATATATTTGAATACGATCCTATCTGAAGGCTCTTTATACACAAATAAAATTATAACTGACACTTGACAAAAGGGTATAACTTTGATGTAACTGATCATCAACGATAGGCTTGCCAGTCCGAGAATGTTTTAATACCCCGTGGAAGGTTCCAATGCTAGTTTATTCCCTAAAATCTTATTGGTCAAAGCAGTGACCAATTCTTGATATTTCGAGTACCATATACTGAATAATTTTTGTTATTTCATAACTTTTGATATAAAAATTTATTTGAGAAGGAGTTATTCGGGGGGGGGGGGGGGGGAGGTGCGGTCAAATAAATACTAAATTAAAATATATTAATTATTTTAATTTTTGCCGACGTTTCGACCCACTTTGCAGGTCGTCTTCAGGGCTACAAAAGATACAAAACATGTTGTAAATAAAAAATAAATATAAGTAGATATAAAATAAGAAGAAGTTGTCAGATACAGAAATAAAAGATATAGTGGGTGACAATGTAGTTAATTTTATTTTTTATTATTTATTATTTATTTAATTAGTTTTTATTTCTGTATCCGACAACTTCTTCTTATTTTATATCTGCTTATATTTATTTTTTATTTTCAACATGTTTTGTATCTTTTGTAGCCCTGAAGACGACTTTCAAAGTGGGTCGAAACGTCGGCAAAAATTAAAATAATTAATATATTTTAATTTAGTATTTATCTGACCGCACCCCCCTAATAACTCCTTCTCATATTATATCAACGGTCAACCATCTCTACATCATAAAAAATTATTATATTCAATTTAACACGTTATAATTGTTACTTAAAAGTAAATGTTACACTTGCAAAATCGTTCCAATATTTTTAATAAAACATATTTTATTAATTTTTATTTACATTGAATTCTCCACGTTGTTGAGGAAGTCAGTTTTTTAATTAATGTTTAAACTTAAATTCATTAAAAATTTAGTCCTTGTTTGTAAAGGCGTTGTTTCGATAGTTTATAATTTTATTTTGAATTGTTTTGTATATTTTCATATGAAGAGAGTGAACATTATTTAATGCATTTTTTTATACTATGATGATAATTTATTTATTTATTTTTTTAGTGAGGTTTTGAGGAGCCAGGCTGAATGCTATGTTCGAGCTATACAGTGGAACTTGTTTTATTATTACACAGGTTGTCCATCTTGGTCGTGGTTTTATCCCCATCACTATGCACCATACGTTTCAGATATAAAAGGATTCACTGATTTTGATTTTAAATTTGATTTGTCAGCTCCGTTTCAACCATTCCAACAACTTCTTGCTGTCTTACCTGCTGCAAGGTAAAATCCTTTATTTATCTTTTAAATTTCCAAACATGAGGAGGTTAGTTTCAAAACTGGCTCAATCAACTTTTTCGAAGAAAAAAAAAATGTATATTTTTATTGCTATATTTATTATGAGGAGTTGGTCGGGGGTGCAGTCAAATTAATATTAAATTCTTTGACCAGATCCCCCACCAGCTCCTTCTCATATTATAATCTCTATATTTTATTGTTCTATAATTATTGCCATTGGCCAGGAAACAGACGGTCATACATACTTAGGTCTGATAGTGTCAATGCTTAGGTTAGCAAGTTGTCAAAATTGTCATAGTTAATCTTATTATTTTTGTTTTTGCAGTAAAAATATTGTACCTGAACCCTTCCAAGACCTGATGGCTTCCCCTAATTCACCTATAATTCAGTTTTATCCTCCTGACTTTGAAACAGATTTAAATGATAAGTTGAATGATTGGGAAGCAGTGGTTTTGATTCCGTTCATTGAAGAGGTAATAGCCAATTCATTAAAAATGTAACTTTATTATATAATATATTATATTTTCTGCCTATTTACTCCTGATCTTTCTACAGGAGTTAAAAATGAAAATAAATATTGAAATTTTAAACAAATGTCAAAACGTGAATTAACTTGAAGTAATGTGTCTTATAGCTGCTTGAGAAGCTGAAATTTATGTTATGTTTTTTAAATTTGTAGAAAAGTCTTTTAGATGCCATGCAACCTCACTATAAAAACTTAACTGAAGATGAAAATAGGAGAAATTCTGTACAGCCTATGGAAATTTATGAATATACTTCAATTAATTTAGGTAAACTATTTTTCATTTAAAGAAATACTTTTTATTTCTTTGACTATCTGAAGTAAATGATGTTTGGACAATTATAGTCAGTTTTCTGCCCCATAGTTTTAGCCACCCTTCATTTCTCTTATCTAGCAAACCATTTTTTAAACAAAAATTAATGGTTTGTTAATTCAGAGTTATGAATGACAGGTTTCTGGAGATAAATGATTATGAATGAACGATTTTTGGAAAATTAATCATATGTGATGAAAGTATGGACATTATATAATGATAACTTGATCCCCTTATACTTTTTTCACAGTATTATTTTAAGTTTCCTCCCTGATATATCTGATTTTTTTCAATAATTGAAATGAAAAAATAATTTTATTCTGGGACTTAAGTTCCCTAAGAATAATAACAGAGTTTAAGAAATGTGTACATTAGTCTGGCATGTAGAATTAATACATATATAAAAAAAAATAAAATAAAATCAAATGACATTCATCAATTTACTATTAATAAGTAGTTATAATATTATGAACACCAAGAAATAATAAAATAAAAAGAAACCTGCGGTTTTCAACATCTTTTGAAAGCAGTAAAAAACTCCATTTAGTTTATTGTGTTAACTTGGAGAGAGGTACGATGATAATTTAAAAATTAAATTTCATAACTTCGTTTTGGTTTTTTAGACTAAGCAGTTACTTCTCTTTTGATCTCTCTTCTATATTTTTTTTTTTTTAATGCATTTATGGATGGTTAATATTTAATTTACATTCATTTGTCCTCAATTCTTGAATCTTGATTCTCATGACTTCATTTAGGCCATATTTCTATTTTTTTTTTTTTTTTTTTTTTGTAAATTATCAAATTATTTTATGTTTAAGGTCGTTGCGAAGCTCCTGAATTCTTTCCCCCAATTGAAAATAATTATGCTCAAATGACAGCTCTTTCAAGATCAGATATTGCTGTCGATCCTAGAAAAGTTGTAAAAGGTATACTTCCTGGAGCTCTTTCTGGAGCGAGATATGGATTTCCACAACTGCGTGGTATTTCTTTTAAGGTAAATATTAAATAACTATCTCATTATTTTACTTTATCTAGTATTGGTAAAGTGTGAAACTGTATTTCAGGTTATCTTTTATAACTAATGAAATTTTCTAAATATATATGTTACATAAATAAATACATGTTTGGTTCGTGCTTAATAGATATGAACAATATCAAGGTTACGGTTGAGATTGATCAGAACATTATCCTCTCGAATAACATCTTTCCTTATGAGACTAATTTATTATTAATTACAAAGAAGCAGCTTGCTGTTATAATCACTCTTAGCTTTTGCACAATGTGTAGTAAAACTGTTTGACTTAATCAATCACTTTATATGTTGCTATGATTTGTGTTATTACATACTTGAAGTTAATTCATTTTAAGTACTAAACCTTTTTTTTTTTTTTTTTATTCTGTAGGTAGAATTAAAATTGGCAAAGGTTAAAGTTTTTGAACATCCTAGTAGAGGAGAAAACATGATTTTAAAAATAGATCGAATAGAATTTGAAAGTGAAGAAGTGTTGTATTCCATGGCTGAAAAACTGCGTAACAATGTCATTTATGTTGGTTGGCCACATATACAGAAAGGAAGGTGATAAATTAATCTTTGCTTACTAATTAATTTAAATAATAAATTTATATCAATTGTTTACACATGATCTCATATTTTATAATTTTTAAATAACACTTCATGGTGTGGTGGGTGCATTTGACAAATACATCATTCATTACATGTTTAGATTACGAGAGACCAATGTCTCTTCAGTCGCCCAAGTGGTTTGTAAGGTTATATTAGTACGATAAACTTTGTGTCAGTGAGTTTGTGCTTGTACTGAATCCGAAGTGGATTATTTTGAATCACTGATTTATTTAATCTTTGACCCATGAAATTCATAAATGGTACAGTGCAATTAGATCTATAAATCAGGGCATTCATTTGCTTCCAATTCTTAAAACTTGATTGTTTGAAATAATTAACTGTTCTTTTAAATATAAACAAGAATAATCTTGTTACAGAGCTACTGCTATTTCATCCGAACAATGTCAGTTTAAAATTGAACACAATAAACCACCTGTTAAATATGATGATAAAACCAGACATAAGCAGGATGCTGCTGATCTTCAACAAAGGTATTATAGTTTCATTATTAACTTTAATTGTTTTATATATTGAGTAACATAAAGTTAAATATTTCTGACCAATTTTTGTATTTAATTTTTTTTAGATATTTGTCAAACTTGGGAATAGATCTAGGAAAAGTGGATATCATAATTTATATAAAAACTGTTGTAGATATTAGAGAACAATTTGATGAGAGCAATGCTTCTAAAACTTGTGGAAAAAGAACTTACATGGCAAGTTTTCCATCCGAATTATGTTTTTTTTTACTTTCAGAAATTGTTAGATCAATTAGGTCTATTTTTTAATGTTCCCAATTAGTAAAGTATTAAACAAATTTATGTTATAAGGAAAAATAATTTCAGTGTACCATCTAAAATTTAATGCTTAGTCGGTCATGGTGTAGCTCATGCTTAACTGCCTCCCAATGTTCCTTTATTTTCTTGAGTTAAGTTCCAGAACATTTTGTACCCCTGCTCATAGGTTATTCCTTGAATCTGCAATGTTTAAAACAAGAAAAAAGTTGCTTGAATAGTATTGACTTAAAGTGGATAAAATTATTTTCAATTTTCCTCGTTTCTTATTCGGTTTAAATTGATTTTTATAATGTTTCAGATCACAATCTAATCTATACCTCGATTCAAGTTAAGTGTGAATATATAGACCTTCCAAGCATAGTCTATTTGTAATATCATAATTTATACATGAATTGTTTCGATCAAAATTTTACTTATAGCTCTAAAAGTTAAAGAATTAAATTAATTTTATTAGAAATGCCCATCATATTTTCCCTGAACGATTCCTCTTTGCTAATCAGATAAAGGGTAAGCAGCTGAAGAAAATTGAAACCTCCATTTGCTATAACTTTGAATCTCACTAGTTGATTTAAATTAAACCCTAATTTGATAGGAAATTGAAAAAAAAATATATTCACTTCTAATTTCATCAGAGTTTTCATTTGTTTCAATAAGAGGAGATTTTTATTCTGTTTCATCCAACATTTACACCAGATTCTTCCGTATTATTTTCTTACATTCCATTTCACTTTTTAAAAAAGTAGTAAATCTAAGATGAAAACCTCATGATAACCTTTCCCGCACATTTCTTGAATTATTACATGTTTTAACAGACCCTCGGACCCTGTTAAAATTCTCACTAGTGGCCATATTCACGATGCGATGAATTGGCCTGAACCCATTGGATAAAAGAAATTACAAAGAGTACTAAAGTCTGAACAATCAGTCACTACACCTTTGAAACAGGATTCGTTGTCAGAATATTGTTTAGAAAACTAGTGATTAGATTTGAAGCATTTCGACCCAATAATAACTATGCTGAAGATTCGGGGAAGGTTCTTTAAATTCACAATTCTCAGTGTGCATAGTCTAACCGAGGATACTAATAAATAGGAAAAAGATGAATTTTATGATCTGCTTGATGCTAAATTAGATTCTGTAACTCGCATGAAAATCCTTCAAGATGATTTTAATGCCAAGTTAGGTCAGGGAGATGTATATTTATATAGTTATTATTTGGTAAACATAGTCTACATGAAGTAGGAATTGATAATGGCCGGCAACTCACAACTTTCTTGGATCCGAAAGTCTCTGAGTTTTCTATTTCTACATTATTCCTGCATAAAAATTAGTGTCCAGGATAACATAATGTATGATCCCTAAGAAGCTCATGACTGAGATCCTGCATGGAGGGCAGCGTGTTTGAAGACCTAAGCTGCAATGGAGGGACTGTGTGGACAAAACACTTGTAGTGAGATATTGGGTGGTAGCAATGTAAAGAATTTTAACATACTTAGTTTGCAGAGATACCTCTTTTATGTTTCTTTTAACATTATAATCTAAATAATGATGGTCGGAAAGGGTTTTAATTAAACAATTTTCATGCGTGTCTTGTCTTCTTTTCTTCAGTTCTTGTTTTCCTGGTGAAGATCTGCAGTTTGCGTTATAACATCATAAAATGGTATACAACAATATGATTATTATGACTACCCCTTGGCTATCATCTTCTCCTCTTACCACTTCCTTCTCAGTGATAACTTTTTATATCTTGCAACAATGTTAAATAGTTTATTATAGTGAAGAAAAACTCCTAATCTTTTTTTTTTTTTAACAATTATATTTATGTATAAGTAGCAAATATAACATATATAAGTCATTGAACATTAACTTTTTAAACTGATGTAAGTTAATAAAAATGATTTCATTGTTCAGAAAATAATAACCATATTACACACAAATTGCTTATAAATTAATACTCCAATAATCGATTTATCTAAACATGATAAATAAATAATTTAGACATATTTTAATCTATTCTTATTTTTATTTATTATTTTGTTTACAGTGGAGCGAATCAAGTTATCCATTTCCTTATCAGACTTATCTAGACCTAAATAAATCCAAATTAATTGACAATGATGAAGAATTGGAACAAATGAAGGATTTAACTGATATCTTTTCAGTGGGAAAAAATGTATTTCTACTGGATTTATTAAACTATGGGATGTTAGGAAAAGTAATTATCTGTTTTAAGTATTATGTTAATAACAAAATCATCATAAGATGATAAATTAGTATAATTAAGATTCATAAAATTTTGGTTCATGAAAGATCAATTTTTACTGTATTGAATTTTCATTTATATTTTATTACGTGAGTTGTTTCCTGTCACATATAGCTCAGCTTATAATAGAGATTAGAAGAACATAAAATACCGTTAACATCCACACTAAAACATGATCTTGCCTTGCAGAGCCAAGTAAAAAACACAATTTCGGCCATCAGACTGTGTTTTTGTGCCATAATCACCTCTTGAATTTCTTGAGATTCTTTTCATATTAAGAGCATACTGCACTATCACTATTTTTTAAATTAACTTATTGGCAAAGTTAATTGCTTTACTAAAAACTGAACTTTTTAGTAAAATGAAATAAACGATCTATCAAACTTTTTTATTGAAAATTTTCATGAGAAAAAGTTCTAGTTTCGAAATAACGCAAAAATAATAAACAAATAAAAGTTCCAGTCATACCGGAACTGATTGAAAATAAAAGGTAATTTTCATATCAAGCCCTGTTTGTAATAACTGTTTTCTAAACCTAACTGTTGGTATTTATATTTATGCTAATTTATTTATTATATTTAAGATAATTCATGGAATAAATCAAACAAGTAAAACTGATACATTAAGAGAATTGTACTCATTTATTTTTGTTTTAGGTGAAATCTATCGAAAATGCTAAAATGGTAAAAGTTGCTATTAATGTAGATTCCAATTTGGATCTTTCTGGCATTCTTGATCTTTCACATAAAACGGATCTTAAGTATTATCCTGGTGAGTAATTATGTTCAGTTCAGTTCAGTAACCTTAAGAATTTTATGTTTTATATATGATACCCATATTATTGTGTCAATATGGTCCTCCTTTCCTTTATTCTCCTATTTCTTTTCCATATTTGATTTATATATATATGAACGAGAAGTTGGTTGTGGGTTGCAGTTAGTGAGAACACAAATAGAAATTTATTTGTGTGTTCTCACTGACTGCAAACCTCAACCAATTTTCCAACAATATCGTCTGCAGTCAAACATTTCTTCACCATTAAAAAATAAAATGATGACTCCCAGGTTACCTCCTTCCATGCACTTATTGCTCTGAATCACATTAAATCAAGTAAATACAACAAAATTCAATTACTACCTTCAATTTCAATATTGTAAAAACTCTAAATTTATATCAATAAAAGGTTAGGGCTGTGAGGTATTTCACTGTTTCTTTATTGAATCCTTTCTACATTGGCAACATTTCGTAATGGCAATTTTACTCCTTAACGCAAATCAATAGTCTGATAGACAAAATAACCAATACTTTCAGAAAATATGATCTATCTGGCAAAAAAAAAAATCAGAACATATACACAGACAAAATTGCTAAAAATGATAAAACCTATGATATCACCTATCACCTATGATGTGTAGAAAAGTCTAACTTCCTTCAATTTTTATGTTTTATATACTTTTCACTATTTCAGGCAGCATAGCTTCTCAGAGGCTTGGAATTGGCAGTCATCTTTTTTCCCGCTTGACTGGATCTATTTTTATTAAGAACGCAGATCGTGATGAAAGAATCAATGTTGGTCTAGGACTAAAATTTACAAAACAAGGAGAAGAGGTCAGTTAAATCATATTTTGTTATAACCATTGGCCATATTATGTGTAGTTTTAATTAAATTAAGAAGTCCTTAAATCATAGTAAGAATTAACATTAACACGTGTGTTCTAACCATTCTTATAAAAAAACTTCTATCCAACTATGCTAGATATTTTTTATAACATGATATAGAATAATCACAACAATTTTCAGCTATGCTTTTAATATTGAGTATTTTGCTGTTATCTGCTTGTCAAATCCGTATACCAGGCAAATAGATTTGATTTGTGTTGTCCATTGAAAGACATTGCATCTCACTAAGTAGTATATTATCTATAAAGCTCTTGTCTTTAAATTGCTGTGCGAAGGTTCCGGGTAAGTCTTTTATTAATTAGACTTATTCGTTCAGATTTGAGAAGTGGTGTCTTATTGAAAATGATTGGTGCTCATAAACTGTAAACATCTTAAACTTGCATTTCATTTCATTGACTTATATTTGCGATCCATTTATGAATCTGGAAAACATACTTTTGTAAGGAAAGATATTTCTATGATTTAAGAATGGCTGCATTATTTTTTTAGTTGTCAGGAAGGTATCTTGCATTTGTGTTCTAAGTTGTCAGGAGTAAAAAAAGAACACATGTGACACCTAACGACTGGAGAACTTTTTGAGCACTGGAACGCTTTGAGTAAAATTCGAATTGATGTAAAGAGAATTTTAGGTTCTTAGTACAAATGATGCATAAACAAGGAATTTTTCAAGGCTATTTGTTTTATATAATTATGAGCTATTTTAATAAATGAGTGTTTGCTTGGTTTAGAAAATATAATAAATAAGTTTTTTGTACACAAGAAACTTTGGCAAACATAATTGAGGGAGATAATAGTTTTTTTAGAAGTTTTCAAAGAATCGGTGAATTTTGGAGATTATAACCTGGAGATTAATTCATTAAGTACATTTTTTTAATATTTGGATCTTAGATTATTTAACATTTGTTTTTAAAGTTTATGAGAAATTCATTAATTTTGTTGTGTGGGTAGAATGAAGAATTAAATGATAGAAACAGATATGTTGATTAGATATTTGACAAAATCTATTCGTTTTTCATCTAATATAGTCCAGAAGCATAATCATACTAGACGAGATGGTAAATTCAGTAATCAATTTGATTACATTCGATAAGGAGTTATCACAAGCAGAATCTATGAATACCTTATATATACTTTTTTCTAATGCTATGTTATTTTGTCCTTGCTTTGCATGCCTGTGGTATAGCATTGTCATTGATGTACTTATAATTTACTTTTTCTACTGGGTATTAAATAAAAAACAGCAGTAATATTTTTTGTGCATGGAATGGTTTGAATTACTGTGTAATTTTAACCAAAGAGATAATGGTTAGGAGTCAGCCATCTGTCAAAAAATAGAAACAGGTTTAATTATTTTGTTTTATTATTAGCCTGTGGTACTAAATTATTAACATTTGTCTAAAACTTCGTGAGTGGCCTTGTCTTATCGTAATCTACAATTAATTTATTAACAAAAATACTCAGAAATGGGACATTTTCAATCTGAAGATCGATAAACTATGTTTATTTAATGGTACTAAAAACTTATGAACTCGCATTTGCTTTTTATTTGAATCGTAAGATAATTTGATCAGAGAATTGAGAAGAAAAGTGCCTATAAAATATTGAGCCCTTCGGGCTCTATCCCCAACATTTCAAAACAACGATATTATATTTTTATTTTATCATTTTCATCTACATATTTGTCCCATGTTATATATGGCCCAATATTTTTGTTGGCCACTTTAGGAAATGTATCAAAAACTAATACAATTAATAAATAATATCATTTTAAAATATAAATACTACTCTTTCACAACATTATGGGGGAAAAAAATGTACCTCTACAACTCATGAAGGGTCCTGGGTTGGGTTCAGTACGATTTAGGGAAATTACTATTTCTTGGTCAACGGTTGTGCAAGGAGGTGATTTGATCAAGATCACACTAACCTTCCAGGTTTTCCCCCTTAACTAATTGTTTAATTAAATGTGCCCACTTTATAGAGACATCCAGCCTCTATAAATTGGGCTCCCTTAATTAAATTAGTGGGCTCCAGAAGAGTTTCCCAACTCCAGGGACAATCCATGGCCAATGAAACAAAATAAATAATTTATCTGCCATTAGCTGGGACCTCGAGCATTGGAAGCTCAGTGAGCTACCATACTCCCTACCACAACATTAAGCGCTTAATATCATCTATTTAAAAACCTCAAGTTTAAATGTAGGAATATAGCCAATATAAAAAAAATTCATAATTGGCTGTAAATGTAGGGAATAGTTCTTCATCGAATGCAGAACAAATCATGAAAAGTCCATCATCCAAAATGGAGGGTCAAACATGGCCACCTAGAACTTTCTGTCTTATCTTATGTTTTTTCTCATATCTCTCTCAAAAATCATCATTCTTGAATTCTACAAGTACTAATACAATCGGCAAGGATGCTCATTTTGGATTTCATCTAAGTTCAGCTGATGAAAAAATGATTAAGGAACTGTAAATTGATGTTTTTGGGGTCATAAAAGCGAAATTTTCTTGATTCTAATTCTGTCACCCCTCCATAACTTTGAAACTATTGACAAATAGAAAATAATGTTTCTTATGTTTTTTGTAGTCTCAAGTAAGAGGAATGTTCGAAAAATTGTTTTTTTAATATTTGTCGAAAAATAGTTGATATGTTAATTTTTAATAAAAAAGTCGCGATCTCAAAGCTGTATTCCATCTCAGGCTATTCGGACTGGATAGGTAGTTATGGACTAGGAGCTACCGATCATTTCATTTAACTGAATGAATTACAGTTCGTAACCATTTTAAATTGTAGATCTGAACAACAACTGAACGACTTCTCTCAATGCGTTAAATCCATTAATTTCTATAGTGAATATTTAATAGTTGACCGTTGCATTATAAAGGAAGGAGATGGTCCAGGGTGGCGGTCATAAATAAGCTAAATAATGGTAAAACTATTTTATTGAAAGCCAACATTTCGACCCGACTTTGCAGATCTTCTTCAGGGAGGTGTGTTTAGCCATGATTTTCACTTAGATCCGAGTGAGTTCTAAGTGAAACATTCCTCTTGCTTAAGACTAAAAAAAACACAAGACAAATTATTTTATATTTGGCTATAGTTTCAAAGTTATGGGGAGTGAAAGATTTATAATCAAGAAAATTTCGCTTTTTTTTACTTCAAAAATATCAATTTACTGTTTCTTTATCAGGTGAACTTCGATGGAATCTAAAACGAGCATCCCTGCCGATTGTATTAGTACTTGCAGAATTCAAGAATGATGGTTTTTCATTGTGATATGAGAAAAAACATAACATAAGACAGAAAGTTCTAGGTGGCCATCTTTGACCCTTTATTTTGGTTAGAAGGGGACACTAGCGGATCCAGGATTTAATTTTGGGGGGGAGCTTCAGCCCGAAACCTTTTTTTTTCATAAAAATAACGATAATTACTTTGGAAAAACAGAAAGAAACTAACTACCTATATGAAATGGTGTTTAAGTTATTCCTTAAGTACTTTTAAATGTAATTACACGAACAATAATACATTAAGAGGTATTTTTAAAATTTTTTTTCCTATAAAACATGGTTATATTTTTCCATTTTGGGGGAGCTTCAGCCCGAAAGCCCCCTCCCCCCCCCCGTAGATCCGCCGGTGGAAGGGGATATGGAATTTGGGGGGACTTTTCATGGTTTGTTCTGCATTAGATGAGGAGCTAATTCCTATATTTACAGCCAATTATGAATTTTATTGATGTCAAATCCTGAATTTACTGGGCTACAAGGAATATGTAGGTTATTCTTCATAATGTATCATGTTATTTAAAAAAAAAAAAAAAAAAAATTGAATGGTACATTATTACTAAAATACCAAACCTTTTGGTACCGTTGTACTCCAGAATTTATTTATCTGTACTTCTATATATGGATGACTAAAGTATATCTTTTTTAAGAAGAAGTTGGTCGGTAGTGCGGTTATTATATAATTCTATATATTATAATAGCGTTTATCAACATTTCGATCTAAGTTGTAGGTCTTCATCAGGGTATTTCATCGGTACTGCCGGAAGGATTTAGGAGACTGATTTGTGTCATATTATATTATTTTCATTTACCTATATGAGAAAACATAGGACCATATTTATGAATGTTCCTTCGGAAGGATCTCTAGGAATTTAATACTAAGAAGTTCTTTACATTTAAAATTTCAGTTTTGTAAGCATTGGCATTTTTGAGATACATTGATCTCCAAGCCAGTTAGTGATAATTTTCTTTTTATATAACAGGAGATTGCGTATCTCTTATTTACAACAGATCAGCCCCTGATGATTATCCTCTTCATTTAATTCCACAGTAAACAATGACATGCACAATATTATTATTATTATTAAATGCTTTTTATGTTGTTGCTTTTTCTTCCCATTACTTCCTAATACCTTGAGAATTTTTGTTTTGCTATCATTAGCTCATAGGTTATACAAGAAGAGAAGGCAATATTTGGTATTATTCAGAAAAAACTATTGCACTTCTTGATGAATATATGGCTAAATTTCCTGAATTGTTTGAAAAACTTCAAACAATGAAAAATGAGGGTGACATGTTTCTTTCTAAGGATGTCTTTCCAGATAATACGTGAGTATTATATTTATTTAATTTAAAAAAAAAAATGTATGTGCTGTTATCTGTATTTTTATATGTTAATCTGTGGATCTATTTAAAAAAATAATATTGTCGTATTAAAAAGATGCTTTGACAGTTTTATAAATATAACCAACAAATGCATGGTACAAAGAATGCTTTTAGTGCATTGGCTTGTTATATCCTTATACTATTTTAAGCTGAACTTTTCAGTTTCTTTATTTTAATTTTCATGAATATTATTCTAATTCTCTTTTCTCTTGCTGGGTTGTAAAAGCACTGAACCATTTTAAAGCATCACACCTGCATGTTAAATGTTTTGTTATCTCATCTTGCTGCTCGCTGAATCAGCAAATTAGTAATATAGTTAATCTCAAATCAGAGACATTAGTACAATCCTTTTTCTTTTCTTATGTTTTATCTATTTTGAACCAATAGAATACTCTGTTGCTATTGACTACTTAGTGTATTCCTTAGCCTAGCTAAGATACACATACGTCACTTAGAGGTTTTTGTAGTATATATAGGTATATGTGCATTTTTGGGCGTATTATTAGCCTTTGTTTAATTTATTATGTCTACGTGAATGTATTTTCATCAGATAATCACCGATTCATTCTGGTTAGAGTTGCTGTTTGAAGATTTTCAATATTCCACAACATTTTGTAATCATGACACTATTCTGATTTATTAGAATAAGAAACTTTGAAAAATATATCTCTACAGGTTGAGTTTGAACAATATGGTGCCTTGTTTTAATGAACAGAAAATTTTCTGTTTACACTACTTACACTGCTCAGCCGGCATAGTTCTATATGTTATCCCTTCTAAAATCAAAAGTTAATTTTTACTAATCCTGTGAAGTAAAAACTCATTTTTCTCAACTTTTTAAAAATGACAGATGTCAGTCTTTGTTATGAGACTACTCATATATTTAAAGAAGAAAATATAATTTTTATTGTGGGACAATTAATCTGCTAAGACTACACAGATGTACATTAAAACATCATTTTTCTGGTTGCATCGACATAAATTACATTAAATTTTTAACTAAAGTCAAATTAATGCATGAGATAAAAATAAAGTTGAAGAAATAACAAAGTTCAGGTAAACAACTGAACTTTAGAAATAATAACTGACCATTTTTTCAGAGGATAAAAGCCCTTATTGGATGTTAGAAGAAAGATGTTGAAGTTAACAAAACTTATTTTGAATAAAAATAGTGAAGTTAGACTTCTTTAACTTCATTCACTTAGTACTACATTAATTTGTCTCTTTTTAATACATAAATAAATTGTTAATAATATTTACTTATATATGTGTAGATAGGCGTTACAAAAGATTTGTAAAGTCCTGTGTAGTTATTCTCATGCTGATGAGAGAATTTTTGTAAATTTGACATTTTAAAACATTTGATCTTATTATTGCTAAAATGACCTTCATTAGTTTAGGAGGCTCCTTCATCTTTCTTTTTTATTCAATGTTTTCGGTTTAGCTACTGGTATTTATTCAATTAGTTATTTGTAATTGTATGATTATGTATTGGAGTATAAAGAGAACTTGCTCGGTCAGGAACAGTCCAAAATATTGTGCTAGAGAACCCCTATGTTGTCTATGTAATTCTCTCAAGTGTCTGCAAGATGTTATTAAACATCTTCGAGATACTCCTCCTTCCCCTCGCCATGCTGAAAGAGAGATGTGTATGTAGCAACCTGGATTCAAAAGGGCTTGATCAACCAGGAATCAGATTTTCTACTTAAGAATGATTTCTCCTGATAACAAATTAATAAACAATTATTACACATAACCTTTTCTTGGAATTTAAATCTGCTTATGATAATAATAGCTAGACCAAAGCTCTACTAGGCATTAGAAGTTGTGAAAGTACCAACAAAGTTGATCCGTCTGGTGAGGATGACTATGTCGAACAGTGTGCTTTAAATTGGATATAATTTCTCCAGACCAATAACAACCAACTGCAGTGTGGTGAGACAGGGAGATGCCCTTGCATGCCTCCTTTTCACTTTTGTGTGGGAGCAAGAGGTGCTGCGGCTGACTGGAGCTACTTTGGCCTAGCTCAACACTTTAGAAGAATTTGGGAAACAAATATTAATTAAGAAGGATTTTAGGTGAGGTAAGAGAGAAAGAAATCTTGAAAAGTTAAAATTACGTGGGGCTCTCAGGGATGTATAAAGACATGGATGTTGTTCCTCAAGCTTGGGAGGAAGACTTCAATGGCTGAACTGTGCATTGAGAATGGAGGATGGCAAGATGCCAAAGAAAATGCAGACCACATTTGGGGCAAGCAGAAAATTGGTCAATCTAATGTGATACCATTTCCGTTATGACGGACACATGGTATTCAAAACTGAAAGTCTGCTGCAGCTGGCGGAAGGTTTTGGAAGAGGCCCAGACTGAGAGTTGTTGTTACACCACTTATGCTGACGACTATACTTAGTGCCTAACTTTATTGCATGTCCATTAGATGTTTGTGTTTTATTTGCTTCTTATTTGTTTATTTCAGTACTGTTAGTCTTCTCATTTAAAAATTAGTTAAAGCCTTTCATTGATATAAGTTGATATTTTATAATTTTAATTATTAGTATTTTTATGTTCATGCAATTTATATTTCTCTTTAATTTTTATTGTTTTAAACTTGTGCAGATTTATTTAGCTATTGATTTTGCCAGTTATTTGTTAGGCTTGGTTATTTTTTTATTTATAAAAATGGTAAATACAATTGTAGGCAAAAATAACAGCTATAATGTTGTCATTTGACAATTTATTTTTTATCTATTGGTCACCAGCTAAGTCATTAGGAAGGTACTTTTATTTCCTCAAGAACTGCAGGTGAGATTGTTGTAATCAATCGAAAAATTGTTTTTAAGTTCTTACTTAGTTTATATGTATAAGTTTTACTTGTTGTTCCCTCATTCTAAACTGTTGAATCATTTGATAAGACTTGTTGGATGTACATATAGTGGGTTGTTCAGAGTTATCAAGATCATTTTTTGAACATAGTTGGCAATCAAAATATAATTCATTATATAACAATAGCATAGGTTAATTTCAATCAATTTTACATTATTTTGGCACGTGAATGATGGATTATATAGTTTTTAGTAGTGATTGTCTCATACCTCATGAAGTTATTCTCAAAAGTCATGTCCATGTCCTATCTTGCCATGAACTCCTAGTTTAGACAGTTTTTAAAATGTTTAATTTGTGTGAAATAAATTTCTGTTCATTCATCTATTGGAATATAGATCCATTAGTTTTACTTCTTTTTTGTTTTTCAATTGCTAAAAGCTTATTTTCATCTACAGTTTTCAAGTTTTAGTTGCAGAAATGATCTGTTTGTTTTTGAAGAGAAAACTTCTTTAGGAACGTTTTGCACTTTGTTTGTGGAGAGCGAATTAGATTGAGCCTTCAGATCTCCAATGTGTAACGTTCGGATAACGTTGGCTGGAGTCATCTAATTGAGGTGTTTTTGTATATGGATTAAAATATCTCAAAAACTAAAAATCTGACCTGTATATTGTTAGTGAGGAAAATTTTCATCATATCATCCTCTTTGTAATGAGCTATTATTCAAAATTGCATCTTAACACGACACCATATTACAGAGGCGAAAAGGGAAAAATAGTGTCGAAAACCAAATTATAACGAGTTTTATTGAAGTTATGAGTCGAAATATCTCAGAAAATAAAAATTCGACCTGAATACTGTAAGGGAGGGAAATGTTCAGCATTTCCTCCTCTTTAAAATGAGCTATTATTTATAATTTATATTTCGTATTATTTATCTCTCCTTGTTGATGTTTTCACTTCTATCGTGTGGTCTAAAGCACACACCTTAGCTGTTTTTTTTTCTTTAAGTAATGAACTGAATTTTATAAAAATGTCTAGGGTAATTAGACTATCAATATCATAAAACCTTCATAGAAGTAAAAATAAAAAGTTAAAGAGCCCGCTAATTTAAAGAACTTTAAATTTATAATTAAAAGTTAGAAATGATTATCATCTTATGAATTTTTTAATCCAATTTTATGTTTCTAAAAATGTATGACCTACATATTTCAAAAAAAGTATTAAGTTATTGAAAACAAATTGATTGATTTTAAGAGCTAAAAGATAAATATTGAATTAGAAACTTTATACAAAGCTTAAACATTTTTATTTTGTCTACTAATTGTTCTGAAATTATTTCATTATTATTAATTATTCATAATGCTTTTTATCTCCTACCATAATACTTCCTCAATATTAGAGTAATTGGTGGTCAACTATCTATTAACTGAATACACAGAAGAATTTTTAGGCTTTATTTGGATAAGACATTCCTCATGAGGATTTTAAAATAAGAAAATTTAGTTTTTCACCTATTGCTGTAAGGATCAATTCGGATAATTGAAGAATAATTTAAAAATACGACAAAAGGAGTAATAATCATTTGAAAGGCTCCTTCAAATGGTTTTAACCATTCATCTTTTTGTTGCATTTGAACTATCATTTAGTGGGTTAATGCAAAAATAATGCAGGTTTTTAATATTCTTGAAGATACACCATATCTTCACTTCAACTATATATATATTTAATCAAATTAATTTTAACCAAAATCTATTCACTTTTGTCAACGTTCAACAACCTATTTTATCCCAGTAGAAAAAAAATTTGGTTCCCTGGAGGCAATGCTCTTGTGGGAAGAATTTTCAATGTCATGCGGGTTTTGGAAATTTCTCTGATAAATTTGTCAAGGTGCTTTAAACACTTGAAAAAATTAAAGTAAGCAGGTGGGTGAGTAAAAAAAATTAATAAGGTAGGTGTTGGAGAATTTTGTAGCCCAACTTGTGCTGTCGTCGTAGCGTTGGTTATACAATGTGTGGCCGGGTATTATTGTTAATAAGGTTTGGTCCCTTCGAATTGATCAATGCTGGGCAAAGACACTGCAACTTTTGATTCATATCATCAGTTTTTTGACAGTACTCATCTGCATTGATAGTCTCACCACAATTGAGAGAGCTTTAGTGGATAACAGCAACATTAGACCACCAAACTGTGACCATAATTTTTTCAGATGCAGATTGAGCTTTGGAAAATGTCTTAGTTGTTTATCTTGGTCTAGCTAGCCATTGACTACAACTACTTATGTTGTCATGTAAGATCTGTTTTTCCATGAAACATTTTATTGAATATCAAAAGTATAGAACAGATTTTGGTACTTATGAGCAACGCGGGCTCTATGGACTGCTATCTACAGTTATCTTGTTATTTAAAGTGTTGTTGTTATTTATGTTTCCTATTATTAAATTACTGCTTCTTATTACTACAAACTACTTATTATTAAATAATCCCTATCTTCGTATGAAATTAGACTCTTATATAATAAGAAATAAATATATTTGGTGTTGTCTCTTTTTTGCCCGTTTGTTATTGATGTATATATATATTAATCAGAAATATAAATATAATAATAATATAGTAATTTAATAATAAGAAATAAAAATAACAACAACACTTTAAGTAACAAGATAACTGCAGATAGCAGTCCATAGATCCCGCGTCGCTCACAAGTACCCTGATTTTTATGGTGTATCTTTAATTAGTGTGGCCCCCACTTGGCAAACTTTATTGCCTTACCAATTCTCTCCAAGATATGATGGTGGATTGGTTCAAGCCAAGTCCTACCACCGTTTCTCGGGTGTTTTTGTTTCGGTTTTCTTCCGCTATTGACTACAGGTCGTTGTCAACTAAAGAATGGTAGCCATGACCACCTTCCTTGTTTGCCTTGTCAAAATCTCCACTGGGAAACTTCTGAAACCAACGTTTCACAATATATTTATTAATGATCCTCTTACCCCATACTTCATTAATGTTAAAAGCATTTATGAAATAAATTTGTAAAAATAAATTTGACAAAAACCACAATTGGCATTTTTGATTCAAAATCTTTAAACACATTGAACAAAATGGTTTTGCTGATTAAATTCTTAATGAAAGAGAGGGTATAATAAGATAAAGTTGATTAAAATATATAAAGAATGAGTATTTAGGATTTTCTTTATTTACACAATTGGTATTAAATCATAGCAATGGCGGAAACCTGCATAATAATTTTTGCATCAACCCCTAAATAAAACAGAAACTGTATACAGAACAAGAAAATTTGATTAATGAAGACAAACAAAAGGGAGGAAACTATTTGAGTTTAAAACTATGTGTTGCCAGTTATCTCATGAATAGATCGGAGATAGAGTGCATGAAACTTGTAACTGTCTTTTCAACCTTTAATCAGTATTTTGTTTTTTAAAAACTGTATTTTATGTATTTGAAATGAAGTACATATTGATATTATTCAAAATAAAATGATGTCATAAAGGCTTCCTTCTTTTATGGAAAAAAGAAATTGTGATTTCTGTTTATTAGGGATGAAAAAGTGAGTGAAATTAGAACTTGGCTTAAAGCACAGGCTCATACTAGTGCAGAGAGAAGGCCATCAGGTTCACAGATCTTAACTCCTGAAGCCATGAAAGAAATTGAAAAACGTGTTATTGAATATTGTGCTAATAAATCTGATAAGACTATTGAAATCACTGTCAATCCTTCAAGTATATACATTGTAAGTGACTTTTCAATTATTTTTAATGAACCTTTATTTTTTATTTCATATTTGTATTATTTTATTTTGTTTTGATTGTGTTTAAAAATGAAGTATTATCCTCTTTAAAAACCTAATGTTTGAATCATGATGTTCTCCGATAAGCTTTCCTGCAGTAGCACTTTTAACATTGACAAATATTAATAAAGTTTAAAATTTGATGAAAATATTTTGTTGGAGTTTCTTTTATAACTTGAATAAAATCTTTATTTGAATTTAAACATATGGTTGATATATTAAAGATGTTTTTAATATTTATTGAACTTAATTATATTTTTTATGTTAGCCGAAGCCAAGACTTAGCAAGTTGCCTCCTGATCCAAATACTACTGTCAGCATGTTGGATCGTATTGTTTCTGTTAGAGAAAACCATTGTATACCATTGGGTTTAATGGGGACAGTTGTTGGTGAGTAATTAATTATATCATATCAATATTTTATTATTAGTAGTAATTGTAATAGTCAATGTTAATCTTAAGATACTTTCATTCATTGCATTTAATTTAGTATAGGAGTGAGTGTTAGTGGAGGGGTTCCTCCCAGCTTGTAATGCTATTGGCTGTTTGATAGTCGTGGTTTGAGAATATGTCACCATATCTGTTTATCATTCTTTTTTATTTATTTTTGTAGTAAAGTAAAAACATATAAAGAAAAAATAAACATTCTGTTTAGGAGACAATGTTTTTAGCACTACATCACCGTAGGAAGCACCTCTTAAACCAACGGTTCTCTTACTGACAAAACTCACTAGTTCTCTGTTTTAATTAATTTGACAGGCTCTGCCTATTCTTGAATAGTTCTTTAATAATGTAAATGTTTTATATATTTATCATAGCACTATTTTCACCTCATCCTTGATTTTATATATATATATATATATATATATATATATATGAAGGACTATGATTCTCTAACACTAACATTGTGTCTCAGAAATATCATTACATTAAATGTAATTAATTTATTTTGTTTTAGTGATTATTTAATTTATTTATGAAAAAATATTAGCTCATATTAAATTCATATGTTCTGGCTCTGTCTGGTCTCAATAATGGAAAGTTCGCACTTTATCTAACCAGCTTATCTGCTTCCTCATTATTTATAATAGTTTTGTAACCTGAAACCCCTATTCAATATATTGCTTATACTCTTTAACTAGAAAGTAACCGTGACAGATTAAATGGATTAAACAGCTTACAGATAGTGATATCTTCTATACCACAGCTAATAACTTTATATTTCACTGCAGTCTAATGAAGTTAAGAAGTTAAAATTAAATTAATTAACCATTTTACATTTGAACCTGTTATAAAAAATGGTTAAATATTGTGAACGAAAAAAAATTATTAGTAACTAATAAGGTGCTTAGCCGAGAGCGCCCGACCTTTGACGATCATCTTCGTTTACAGATACCTGATACCTCTCTATACAGGGCTTTCATATTTTTAGTTTAACTTTTATCCATAATTTTTTAAATAGATTTTTAAGTGTAATGTTAAGGATTTAGTAATATACACCTAATAACGCTGGGCAACAATAAACACATTTTTTAATGTTTCTAGCACTTCATGAGTCAATTCTTACTAATTTTGGGTTCAGAAAAACGAATATGACAATGACAATTTTTTCTTAGCTCTAGTTTCTGTAATATATGCTAGGTGGTAGTATTTCATATTAACAGGTTAAGAGAAAAACATACATTTTAATTATATATGCCAACAACATTGAATGTGCATTTGATTTAGCAAAATGGTAGTTACATTCTAAGAGTTCTAAATTGCTGGAAGAATACCTCGCAGATGATCATGTCTGAAGACATTATGTGATGGCTTCATGAGATCGTCGTATTTTAGCTTGCCTCTTTAAAGGGAGTTCTGGAGCACCCCTACACAAAGACCAACAGTAATCCACAAGCATTTCTTCATTTCAATGGCCCAGATATCATTGTGCCATAACAGAAATTTCCTGATGGAATCTTTCTCCATGATCATCACTAACAGCTCCACAACTAGGAGGGAAAAGGTCTAGGTGGGAATGGAGAAAATGGATTTTAAGGGACATGTTGCATTCAAGGTTTTGGTACTCTTGCAGGAGCACTGTCACCAAATGCATGTATTTGTCATATGTTTTGTTGCCTAAAAATTCATGAGCAACTCACTTGAAGGCTTCCCAAGCTTGCTTTTCTTTCTCTGCCAAAACTTGGTCAAATGCCATACACATTATTTGCATTTATACTGTTCTTTTATCTTCCTCTTGGTCTTCCACACACTCTCACTCCCTCTGAAAGATCTGGAATAGAGCTTTTTGCTGTTCGGTCACTATCCATTCTTAATTCGTGGCCCAGCTATCTCAACCACTGTAATTTTAAGAATTCTGAGGCTCTAAGATCTCCATATATTCTGTAAATTTCATGGTTTTTTTTATAGATGCCACTCTCCATTCTCTTAGATTGGACCCAGCACACGTCTTACCAGTTTTCGCTCAAACATGTCCATCTTGTTTGCCGCCGTACCATTAAACACCGATGTTTCATATGTGTAGGTTGCGATTAGTCTTATTAATGTTTTACATAGTGTTATCTTTGTTGTGCAACTGATCAATAGACTTTTTAGGAGATGCATAATCAAGTATTTTTCTTTATTGGATGTGAAAATACGAAGTTTGATCTCCTCCAAAGCCACATTTATTCAGCTCCCAAGGTATTTAAAATTAAGACATTTTCAAAGGAGCTCTTGCCAACTGTATACATGTTCTGTGGATGCCTCTTTTCTCCTTAGGATGCCTCATTACTATGATCTTTGTCTTCTCAACATTTACTTAGACCAAATGTCTGAGCCTTTTATGGAACCTTTCAAATTAATTTTTGATGATTTGGAAAAACCTTCTGGTGATGGTGACGTCTTCAGCATATGGTAGTACTTGATAGTTTCTATTGAATATAGTCCCCCCTATATCCAGATTTGCACGTATGCTAATGCATTGTATAATAATGTTAAAGAGAAGTGAAGCCAAGGAATCACCTTGCCCGAGACCAGTGTTGATATGTAATGGGCGAGAGAAGTTAGACCATTTGTAGTATACAATATCTAAAATAAATGGAATTTATGGAGTCTTCAATCTAAAGTTGAATGGGTGAATGATCTTTATTTTATTTTCAAAAAATTATTCATACAGCTCCTCCTATCCAGAAATCTATATATTGTGATTTTATAGCAAAAAGTCATTAAGTAACATTTCATAAAATTAAATAATTAAGTACTTTAATGAATTTTCATATGTAAAATCAGAACATTGAGTAACTAGAGTTTGTGTTATTTTGTAGCACTTATTATATTTTTATATTTATAAATAAAATAAAATTTAAAAAATGTACTCGGAAGTCCAACTCCACCACAAATGTACTTACCGACTTTTTGTAATATACTATCAATGTAAGAACTTTGCAAGATTGTAAGACTTCCTAAGTTATCAAAAATGACTAGATTGCCAGATTTAGAAATGTTTTTTTTTTTTAAATTGGAATAAAAGAAGTGATTCTAATTTTGTGTTACATCTTAAGGGTTATCTTGTTAACCCTTTGACTGCAGGATCTCACTCGAGTGTTTCTACCAAATGGCGGGTCCCGATATCCAAAAAGATGATCAGAAAAATGGATTTTCTTTTTCCTCCTTACATTTGTTTAAAATACTATTTTGAGTCACCCTGCAAGATCTTACTTACCTTTCAAAAATGCATTTTAACCTTTTTATTTAACTTTTAATAACTAGGGCATATGCCTTCCCAGCTACACATGGAAATGAAAAATTAGAGCGGCAATCCCGTAACACTTCGTTGTCTTGAGTATTTGCACATTTCTGAAAAGTAAAATAACTGAAAATAATCATAAAAATAACTGTAAGTGATCATAAAAAGTAAATTATATTAATTCTTAAAAAAGCACACTGACAGCAGGATTATAATTATATATTTCTTTGTATATAAACATTTTTTTCTTACCTAAAAAAATCCATATTGAAACATAGTTGTTATAAATTTTATTATTTGACTTACATTTATTTTGAGTTTCTAACACTTTTATATTATATGAAATATATATATTGTTTTTAGGTGGATGGCAAAATGATAAAACAAATAAAGTATTATTTTAATTCTGTATATTTTCAGATTTATTAATTTTTACTAATGTCATTTGAAAATTACATATATATGTGTGTGTGTGTGTGTGTGTGTGTGTGTGTGTGTGTGTGTGTGTGTGTGTGTGTGTGTGTGTGTGTGTGTGTGTGTGTGTGTGTGTGTGTGTGTGTGTGTGTGTGTGTGTGTGTGTGTGTGTGTGTGTGTGTGTGTGTGTGTGTGTGTGTGTGTGTGTGTGTGTGTGTGTGTGTGTGTGTGTGTGTGTGTGTGTGTGTGTGTGTGTGTGTGTGTGTGTGTGTGTGTGTGTGTGTGTGTGTGTGTGTGTGTGTGTGTGTGTGTGTGTGTGTGTGTGTGTGTGTGTGTGTGTGTGTGTGTGTGTGTGTGTGTGTGTGTGTGTGTGTTGTGTGTGTGTGTGTGTGTGTGTGTGTGTGTGTGTGTGTGTGTGTGTGTGTGTGTGTGTGTGTGTGTGTGTGTGTGTGTGTGTGTGTGTGTGTGTGTGTGTGTGTGTGTGTGTGTGTGTGTGTGTGTTGTGTGTGTGTGTGTGTGTGTGTGTGTGTGTGTGTGTGTGTGTGTGTGTGTGTGTGTGTGTGTGTGTGTGTGTGTGTGTGTGTGTGTGTGTGTGTGTGTGTGTGTGTGTGTGTGTGTGTGTGTGTGTGTGTGTGTGTGTGTGTGTGTGTGTGTGTGTGTGTGTGTGTGTGTGTGTGTGTGTGTGTGTGTGTGTGTGTGTGTGTGTGTGTGTGTGTGTGTGTGTGTGTGTGTGTGTGTGTGTGTGTGTGTGTGTGTGTGTGTGTGTGTGTGTGTGTGTGTGTGTGTGTGTGTGTGTGTGTGTGTGTGTGTGTGTGTGTGTGTGTGTGTGTGTGTGTGTGTGTGTGTGTGTGTGTGTGTGTGTGTGTGTGTGTGTGTGTGTGTGTGTGTGTGTGTGTGTGTGTGTGTGTGTGTGTGTGTGTGTGTGTGTGTGTGTGTGTGTGTTGTGTGTGTGTGTGTGTGTGTGTGTGTGTGTGTGTGTGTGTGTGTGTGTGTGTGTGTGTGTGTGTGTGTGTGTGTGTGTGTGTGTGTGTGTGTGTGTGTGTGTGTGTGTGTGTGTGTGTGTGTGTGTGTGTGTGTGTGTGTGTGTGTGTTATAATATACACACACATGTGTATGTGTGTATTTATTTGTGTAAATAAATTAAAAGAAAAAATTATAAAGTTAACTGATTAACGTTTATTTGATGTATAAAACATTTAAATAGAATATAAATAAGATCATGTATATGGCACAAATAACAGAGAAAGAT